ACTTCAAACTATTTTGATCCTATATCCTTGAGAAGCTAAAAGACAGAGAGGTGGATGGGGGGGGAAGAAGAGGGGGAAACAACTCAGGAAGCTCAGTAACGATGTCCACCATTTGTAAATCAAGCTGTGCCCCATCATTCAAGGCGAGGCAAGACTCCTTCCTTCTGGTTCTACTGAGTGACCATTTTAGTGCCCATAAACAGAGGGCCAAGGCTGAAGGGCCAGTCAAATGCTGGCAAGTGGCACCATCTGGTGTTTACGTAGGAGAACTGCACATAAATGCACCCACACGCCAAGGTATCAACCTGGGCATCAGCCTCACCAGGGCTTGCACGGCCCGCCGTGACTCTGCTGCTCCTGTCTCCTAGCTGCGTTAAGCTTTAAACAAATCAGCATAAATCAAGGATGTAAAGTCCTTTAAGTTCTTGAAAAGAAACCTTTCTTCTGAAAACTGGGTTTCAGAAGAAAAGGTTCTGTTCCCTGAGGTCATTCTCCAGAGTACAGGGGCTCTGGCTAAATGCCCTTCCTGTCTGCTAAGGAAGCCGTCACCCACCGGCTTACTTACTTCTTTTAAAATTTCCAGCCTGTACTACCTATAGGGATGCTTGTTTTCTGTTTGTTTTTGTTTTTTGAATCTACTTACTTATTTTAAGAGAGAGTGTGAGGGAGGGGCAGAGAGAGAACCCCAAGCAGGTTCCACACCGTCCGCAGGGAGCCCAGCGCAGAGCTCGAACCCACAAACCGCAAGGCCATGACCTGAGCCAAAATCCAGAGTCGGATGCTCAACCGACTGAGCCAACCAGGCGCCCCCACTTGTTTTTTGTTTTTAATTTACTGTGTGTTGTATTAACTGTATTCTATTTGTCATAAAACAATGTTTTAAAAACCCCCAGTGAGGGGCGCCTGGGGGGCTCAGTCGGTTGAGCGACCAACTTGGGCTCAGGTCATGATCTCGCAGTTCATGGGTTCAAGCCCTGCTTCGGGCTCTGTGCTGACAGCTCAGAGCCTGGAGCCTGCTTCAGATTCTGTGCCTCCTTCTCTCTCTGCCACTCCCCTGTTCATGCTCCGTCTCTCAATAATAAAAAAATGTAAAAAAATTTTTTTAAAAAAACAAAACAAACTCCAGTGAGTAATGCCTAGTGATAGTGCTCTAGACTTGGGCTAAAAGAAAAACATTTGCATACCTCACTTTTCTTTTTTAAAATAATGATCAGCTCTCAGACTCATGTGCCTAGTGTAAAGAATGAGAATGGTAAGCTCTCAAAACCCCATCTTTGGTCCTGACCTTCCTTTGCAGCTGGCTGGTCTCACATGTACAGAAGACACAGTCCAAAGCTGTCTGTGGAAGCCACGCCTTACCTTCCTTGTCTTGTTTAATGGTAAACTTGTCCCACATAAAATCCACATTTATGGAGCACCGATGGCAAGCCAAACGCCAGACTACGAGCATCCCACACGGGACCCCACCGAATCCTCACCACCCAGGGGGGTTGGGACCACCGTGATCACTACTCCTGATGAGAAAATGGGGAAGGAAAGTACATGCTTCAAAGCCTACCACAAAGCTGTCTTACTGATTGCCTTTCCGCAAGTTTTCTGCAATCTAAGCGCACCTGCCTCCACCGCTAATGCCTCAATCCAGATCACCTTTCACTTTGAGACTAAAGTCGATGCAGCTAGAATCAGCTAGACCCAGGTCTGAATCCCAGCAATGCCACTTCACAACAATCATGGGACATCAGATTCCTCTTCTAACCTCCCTAAACGTTAGCTGCCTCCTCCACCTACCGCAGGAAAGTCTATGGTGGGAAGAGATAAAGACTGTGCCGTTTAGCAGACATTAACAGCAGTTCTGTGTCAGCAGCCCCCTTGCCAACACCACCTTCCTTTCCGACCAGCCCTCTGCGAGTTCCTCTTTAATTAATGTGAACTGGACCAAACTTCCTTACTATTCCTGTAAGGTAGGGGCCCTCAGTGGCATGTTTATGGCTGGGGATGTCAGGACCTCTTGGAGACTTACCAGCCCCACTGAACTACCAAAAAACAGTCCAAAAGTGAAAATTTTTTGAATTCCATTTATAACAGCATCAAAAACATAACATTCTCTGAGGACTCAATTTAACAAAAAGGGCATAGTATTCTATAATAAAAACTATTTGACAATGCTAAAAAAAAAATATTAAGGCATGAATACACCATGCTCATAGATCAGAAAATCAATATTAATATCAGTTCTCCCCAAAATGATCTACATAGATTCAGTGTAATGCCAACATGGTTTTCTAGGGAAATTTAGAAGCTGATTCAACATTTTATATGCAAAGGACCTAGAACAGCCAATCTAGATGAATGCTGGAAGGGACTCACATGATCTCATCTGATTGTGTGGGGATGGGCAAAAGGGCCAACAGATTGGCAAGTTCAAAAACAGATTCAGAACATGGTAGTCCCTGATTTTTTTACAGAGTGCCAAGCATCTCCATGGGGAAAGGAAAGTCTTCCAAAATGTTGCTGAAACAACCGAATAATACTCATTCAGCAACATATGGAAAAATAAATGAAATACACTTATTTCTTAAGATACTCAAAATTAATATGAAGTAGATCACAGACTAAACAGAAAAGCCATTAGAAAATAAATAAATAAAAATGAAAACAAAAACTATAAAACCTCTACAAGAAACCACTGGAGAAAGTTGTACTCTTAGGGCAGGCAAAAATGTCTCGGAGAGAAAATAAGAAAGCACAAAGTATAAAAATACGATAAACTGGACCTTTTATGGGGCACCTGGGTGGCTCAGTCGGTTAAGTGCCCGACTTTGGCTCAGGTCATGATCTCGTGCTCTGTGGTTTTGAGCCCAATGTTGGGCTCTGTGCTGACAGCTCAGAGCCTGGAACCTGCTTTAGATTCTGCCTCACCCTCTCTCTGCCCCTCCCCTGCTCATGTTCGGTTTCGCTCTCTCTCTCTCAAAAATAAACATTAAATAAATAAAATAAAATCTGGACTTTCTAAAAATTAAAAATTTCCGCTTTCCAAAAAGAGTTAGGAAAATGAAAACCAAAGACTCATTGAAAAATCCTCATTATCTATGTACTTACCATAGATTGCCTTTGTATGGGGAATATCCACAGAACTCTTCCAATTCAATAATAAAAAGACAAAAGATACAGTTTTTAAAAATAGGCAACCCCCTCCCCCACAGTTATACTTTATGATTTCTTTAATGTTAACATTTCTGAAATGACAACTTGTAGAAACGGAGATCAGATTCCTGGTTGCAGAGGTGAGGTGGAGGGAGCAGGAAGGGAAGGAGGGTGGAGGTATGAAGGGGCAGCAGGAGGAATCGAGGGGTGATCGAGCTGTTCTAGCTCCTGACTGTGGTAGTGCATACTCAAAACCACGCATGCTAAACTATACACTCGCACACATGTGCGCGCGCACACACAAACATATCATTATAAAGGAAAACTATCTTCACAGATAAGAACAGTGGGACTGAGTCAACATCCTAGTTGTAACGTTTATGTACTATTTATATACATTGTGCAAAATGTTACCCTTAGGTAAAGTCTGCAGGGATCCCTTCTGCACTATTTGTTATAAACCCATGAGAGTCTACAATGACCTCAATAAAATTTTCAATGAAGAAAAGGAGCGAGCAAAGGACTTAGGCACTTCACCAAAGAAAAACACAGGGACGACAAGCAAGCACAAGAAACTGTGAGCATCACAAAATGGAATTCAACTTCGCAATGATAAAGATTGACTGAGGTACAAACCACATTTCAGACACGACGACATAAAAGATGCCAGACACTAAAGAATGAATCAAAACAGTGGCTGCCTCTGGTAGAAGCGGGGGAGGGGGGAAGTGGATTATCTAGAAGGGGGTCCAATGGCATTTAACAGGGTAACAGAATACTCTGACTGAGGTTTGGTTATAACGATGGTTGTGTAAATTTCTCAAACTCCACTGCTCAACATTTAAAATCTATGTAGCCAACTGTATCCATAACTCAATTAAGAAAAGCAGGAGCGCCTGGGTGACTCAGTCAGTTAAGCATCCGACTTCAGCTCCAGTCATGATCTTGTAGTTCGTGAGTTCAAGCTCCACATCTCTGCGCCTGCACAGAGCCTGCTTCTAATCCTCTCTCTGCCCCTCCTCTGCCCTCGCACTCTCTCCCTCTCTCTCAAAAATAAACATCTTTAAAAAAAAGAAAGAAAAAAGAAAAACAGCAATACAGGCAATATTTAGGTATATAAAGGTTGTGAAGATGGTACTTAAATGCCAATATTGGGGGCAGGGCGGGGGAGGGATCTAGAACATATTAATTCTGAACTGCACAGAATATCATAAAAGACCATCACAGCTGGCCCCAGCCTCCCTGGCCAGCCATATCTTCTGAAATTTCCACTCAAACACATGCCAAACTATTACCAAACCAAATGCTTATAATTCCTGATGACTTCCTAACTCTGTGCCCCAACGCAGGGTATCAGTCTGTTAAATATGGCCCCTTTCCTAGCCCTAGTGAATTCCTACTTATTTTTCAATACTATGACAGACATTGCCTGCCACCTATACAGACTTCCTTGCCCTACCTCTGCGTTTTCATAAAAAAGAAGGGAAACAAACATTTATTGAATGCTTAACATACTTTACACATTTTGAGACATTACTTCATTCTATTACGAGGACGGAAAAGTTGACAAGTTACTGCAAGTTAATGACAAGTTGGCAAGTGGATGTTACCCGCTACTTAAGAGCCAGAGAGGGAGGAAGGCGGAGCAGTTGATTCGGAAACTCACCAGATTCTCAGACTGACCAGGTGCTCAGCAAGGGTGGTGGCTGCTCGGAAGGCACTCAACACAGAGAGAAATTCCGTTTGTTAAAAATGATCTTTAAGGAACAGTCAATCCGAGGAAAACGCAGCTGGCTGTAACTCTTCCAGGAAAAGAAAGAAGCAAATACACTTAAATGTTCCTTTTGGACACTTACCTATATTCTTCCTTGCCGGGCGGTAGGAGCAAACCCTGAAGCGCTACCACGCAGTCCTCGTGCAATAAGCAATGAGAAACAGGAATGCTAGAGGCGGGGGGGAAAAGGAAATTTTGTTTTAGGGGATGCCGGAAATTAACATTCTAAAATTAAATCCTAACTATGGGTTTCGTTATTATTTTTTTTAATGTTTATTTATTTTTGAGAGAGAGAGAGAGAGAGAGAGAGACAGAGCACGAGTGGGGTAGGGGCAGAGAGAGAGAGAGAGAGAGAGAGAGAAAGACACACACACACACACAGAATCCGAAGCAGGCTCCAGGCTCTGAGCTGTCAGCACAGAGCCAGACGTGGGGCTGGAACCCACGAACCGTGAGATCATGACCCGAGCCAAAGTCGGACGCTTAACCAACTGAGCCACCCAGGCACCCCCTAACTATGGGTTTTAAACCTAATAGTACACGTGTGACCTCCAAAGGGTTTGTAAATGCCAGACATTTTTACATCTCTGCATGATCCTCTGGGGAAAGGCTCATTCAGCAGCCTTCATTTTTTTCCCACTTCCCCAAAAACAGGACGCCAATCAGTACATCTTTTTCCCGATGACTCAAAAGCTTAAAATTGTACTGTTGTGCGACCTCTACATTGTGAGATCCCGCCAGGAATGACATGGAGTGTCGAAGCCTAGCTGTGGAGTTCTTCCATCAGCCCTTTGTGTGTAACGACCTGTTTTCTGTCCCTCAGGGGTGTTCACGCACCTGCTCTAAGAACAGGCTCCACTAACCTGCTTCACGCCCGGCACACAGTTTTTAACTCTTCTCTTCTAACTTCTCACGAGAGAATATATAAATGGCATTTGAGGGTAAATAATTTTGAGTGTACACCTAAAATACTCTCCTTGGAGTCACAGCACTTGTTTCTTCCTTTGTTTCGCTTAATTCTGGCAACCAGACAGGTTCCAAAGAGGTCAAGTTTATCAAGTAACTGTCATTAAGTCCAAAGTCATAGTGTACTGGTTTGAAAGCAGTGCACTTGCATAAATGGCATTCTACAGAAGGGCTTCTTTTCTTTAAGACGTTATTTCTCAGTAATCTCTACACCCAACATGAGGTTCGAACTCACAACCCCAAAATCAAGAGTCACATGCTCTACCAACTCGGCCAGCCAGGTGCCCCAAGAGTATATTTCTTTTAACACAAAACTGATCCTTATGCTACCATTAGTGCTTAATTCCTACAAATTTGAACATGCTTTTATGTTGCATGAAACTTGACCTAGGTCCAGAACCTAAGAAACTCAGTAAAGAAATTCGAAATAAATAGCAAATCGCAACTTAATGATATGTTGTTGATAGTTTATCCGGCTGGGCCACCCCCCCGCCCCCCGCCTTTTTTAAAATGTTGAGAGCCAGCAAGCGGAGGAGAGGCAGAGAGAGAGGGAAAGAGAGAATCCCACGCTGTGGCATTGCATTGACCCCATCGAGGGGCTCCATCCCACCAACAGTGAGATCATGACCTGAGCGGAAATCAAGAGTTGGACACTCAACCTACTGAGCCACTCAGGCGCCCCTGGCCTGTCCCCGTCCATCTTAAGATTTGACACTGTTCTCAAAATCATTTCATATTTAACTAAACTGGATCCCAGTAATTTCTTTCATAATAAAAAGACAACTTATTTGAGGGCTAAGAAACTATTTTGTCTAAGAGTGTATTTGTCAAATCTGAAAAAATACATCAATTCCTTCTTTTAGTTTCAAAGCACAACAAAGACACAAAGCATCTAAATCGTGTTATGGTAACTATAGGTTAATAAACACATTGAAAAATGCTTCATTTTCTAGTATTGATACCAATGCTGTGTCTTATTTTAGAAGGAGATAGTTGGTCTCTACCAAGTTCAGTAGAGAGCAGGAAAAATGTTTAATGTGATAGTTTAAAAATTCGCACAGGCTGTGGACACTTGGTACTGTCAAAACATTAACACTTTATGAGAACAATATTAGCTTTTCAGCTTCCAATTTTATACCAGAGTGCTGATGTGTAAGCGATGAACCACGGGAATCTACCCCAAAACCCAAGAGCAGACATTACACACTGTGTGTTAGCCAATTTGACAATAAATTGTATTTAAAAAATAAATACCAGAGTGCTGAGTCAGATATTTGATTTTTTTTTTCCAGCATTAATCCCTAAAGTAACCTGTTTCTTTGGATTATCAATCTCACCCTTAACTGCACAGATTCCTATTTTAAAAGGGCGCTGATAATCTGACCACCCAGAGCGTTTTAACCTCAACCATTTAAAAACAAGTTCGGCGGGGTGCCTGGGTGGCTTAGTTGGTTAAGCGTCCGACTTTCGCTTAGGTCATGATCTCACGGTTCGTGGGTTCGAGCCCCACGTCGGGCTCTGTGCTGACTGCCAGCTCAGAGCCTGGAGCCTGTTTCAGTCTGTGACTCCCTCTCTCTCTGTCTCCTAGAAATAAATAAACATTTAAAAAATTTTTTTTAAAAATTTAAAAAATATAAAATAAAAACAAGTTCGGCTTAAAATTCGTGCAAAACAGGAACCAATTACTTTCCACTGTGCCTGCATGTCCTCATTTGGCAGGGAGAAGCAACAATGTCCGAGCAGAAGGCCTGACAAGCGAAAGAAACTGAAGGTTCCAGATGTAGCTGACGCTCCATCTTACAGGAGGGGGGAAACGGAGGCCCCACGCTCCATCTTACAGAAGAGGGAAACGGCGGCCCCGAGGGTGAGTAAGCTAGCAGGTACAGAGCGTCTCCCGAACCCCCACGCTGCCCTGGGGTTATCAACCACTTAAAGGGCCCTGGCCGCAGAGACCGGGGTCCCCACCTCTCCTGGTGCCTGTGGCGCCGGGCAGAGGGGAGCCGGCGGTGACAGGCGGTCGTGCCCAGCTCGAGACTTACTCGACCGCCAGCACGAAGCCGCAAGGGTTCGCCGGGCACACATAGAAGCTCCTTCCTTTATTCGGACCATCGCGGACGCCAGTCTTGAGAAAGCAGATGGTTCCTGAAAAGAGCAAGTTGATAGCGATTACGCCACGCGAGACCGAGAGACCCCGGGAACCCCTAAAAGATCGGGCCCTTACCGTGCTGCGAGCACCTAACTGCTTCCATGACCGCTCCAGTCTCCAATTGCACGGAGCCGGGCCCCGACGCCTTCTTCCGCCTTTTACTCCGCCCTCCTCGCTCAGCAGCCAATCAGCATCCCGCTTCTGCAGGCTCGGCCCCCATAATTCACCGCGCGTGGCCTTCCCCCACCGCCTTCGCGGGAACTCGGAGTTTAAATGGTGGGGCGTGGCCGTAGCTGGCGGGACTCTCGGAGCTGGGCTTTCCGCGGGGGGCGGGGGGGTATCGCTTGGCTGTGGCTGGGAGAGGCAAGGGCAAGGTTAAGGCCGGGGACGACTCCAGTTTGTAACTAAGCCCTAGAGGCGGCCCTGGAGGGAGCGCGCGTTGCAACTGCAGAGGGGAGCTCTGCAAGGAGGGCTCCCTTCTCCCGGAGGCGGACGGCGCCTGGAGCTTCGCGGTGGTCTCGGAGCCGGGCCTGGCGCTCGGTCTCTTGCGGGGGCGGGGGGGGTAGGCCCGGAGAGGCTGCCACCGCGGAGGGAGCCTGTGAACCCCTTTCCAGGGCTGGGGCGAGGCGGGGTGCGGGCTACTGGGCGCGTCGTCGGGGGGCGGGGGGAGGGAGGAGAGCAGGCGCGAAGACTTCTGTTAAGACCCCCCAGTAATGCTTTAAGTTTGCGTCGAAGCTTTAGACTTCGCAGAGTGCTCACACATACACATCTCTCTTGACTCGACAGCCTGGTGAGATGGGCAGTATACGGAAGGTCCTGAGGTTCACAGAAGTTTGAGGGACTGACCCAAGGTCACAGAATTAGTGGGCGACCCAGGAGTCTGCCCAGCTGCATCCTGTGTGTGCTGAATGTTCCCTAGGTCCTCTTAGTGCAGGAGACCTGAGTTGTTAAGAGTCGGAATGGAAACGATAGAAGTAGATTACCTTTGGTGTACTCTTCGTATTCTATTAGTATGCTTTTGTAGTGTTAAAAAAAAAATTAAGGGGTGCCTGGAGGTTCCGTTGGTAAGCCTCCTGACTCTTGATTTTGGCTCAGATCAGGATCTCTAACGGTTGATGAGATGGAGCCCCAGGCGGGGCTTACCCTCCTCCCCCATCAGCACCAAGCCTACTTGGAATTCTCTCTCCCTCTCCCTCCCGTTTGCTCATGCACTCTCTCTCTCTCTCTCAAAAGAAACTTTTCAAAAATCGAGAATGACGTTAAGTAAAAGAAAGGGAACTGAATTTGAAATGTAATCAGAACTACTAGTTAGCAGAAAGGGAGGAATAGAAATCAAGAGATGTATTGCAATAAAGATGGATTTGAACAAGTACTTATTAAATAGCTTTTTGTGGGCCCAGTGTGAGCTAGGTGCTTGAGAAAAAAATAAAATTTATTCACACAGAGTTTGAAACTATTTTTCTAACCGCAAGGAACTTAGTATCATGAAGGAGACTGCATTAGTGCATATTGAATGAGCACTTAAATAATAAAATGGTATTCAACGTCAAGATGGGTGGAGTTAATAAACTCTGTGGGGCTAGTTAATAAGCTCTACGATTGATTTAATCACAGCCAAATTAAAAAAAAAAGGGGGAGAGTATTTCTTCCGTAAATTTGGACTATGCCAGATCAAAATGTTTAGGCTCCAGAGGGTTGATAACCATATTTATAAGAGTGAGAAAACAAATAAGGTTGTCCTTGGGTCGGATGTGGCCGTAATGCTGGCATAAACTGTAATGAATTCTATAATACACACTTTTCAAAATATACACATATATAAGCTTACGTATGTTCACTTTTATTCTTATATGTTTACTTTGTATAACTAGCCTGCAGACCCTGGAAAGAATGTGCTACATTGACTTCTATTTTCAGTGAGGTTGAGAGTTTTAGTTAATTTACTAAATTTATTCAAAAGGAATGCCTAGGCTAGGTTCTAGGGCTAGATGTTTAAACTCACAAGTTAATGATGCAGTAAATTCTTTCCCTATAGGGCTGGTCAAATGCAAAGTGTATGATGGAGTTGTTCTAAAACCGAATTGTGGTAATGACTGCATAACTGTATACATTTACCAAGACTTGGACAACCCTATGTATTAGGGAATTCTATGGTATCTAAGTTATCCCTCAATAAAGCTGTTAAAAACAACAAAAAAAAATTAATTTATAAGCAATGCCAAAACACCTGCCTGGCAAATAAAAGCTAGAATCATCTCAATGTTTTGACATCCTAGGGAAACATAATGGGTGAAGGAGTTAAATTGTAGCAACTCTTAAGTTTCGGATGGTGTGGATTCTTGTGCAGACTGGCTCCCTGGCCTATGCCATTAACACCCCCTTGTGCCAACACTTATTTTAATCCTTGGGAAAATGAAAGAATTCTCTTTTCTCCGCTCAGCATAGTACCGGCTAGCATACGTTAAACCCGTCAGTCACTGTAAGATACTCACGCGATGGTACCAGCTAGATCAGTCGCCTCTTGACATCCTTGCCACTCTGTATTTTTAAAAAATAATCGGTAATTCTAAGTTATTTGTAAAATTCCGGCCCTGTGCAGACTTTGGCTTCATTCATTTTAATAATTACATTGGTCAAACGTGTTTTCCCAATTGGCTGATACTTCTAATAAACATAGTTTGTTTTCTGGGAACTTGTATCTTTCTGGGTTTTTTGCTTATGTCACTGGTTTGGGGTGGGGAGAAGTAACCACTTTGAAATGTCAGATAAAGGATTTGTGCCCATGAGGCACGTAGTCACGGGAGGAAACCCTTACGTAACTGCAGCCTGCCCGTTTTCTGAAGTGGATTCTGGGAGACATGCTTTTATGTGTGTTTTCACACTTGGTTCTCACACCTACCTTGGCAGTGGATGTTCTTTTATCCCCATTTTAAAGAGTAGGGCACCAAAGTTCAGGGTAGGTAGGAGCTTACTGGAAGGTCATGCTCCTAACCACTATCTTACAGAGCCTCTGCCTGAACTTTCGGACCAGATAGGGCCCATAGATTAATCTTGTTCTGGCTCAAACACCAGACAGATCAGGGGCTGGAAGCCATTTTTTGAGACTCCCAGTCCAGTTCTTGCCACTAAAGTATTTTTACGAAGTATAAATGATTCAGTGATTCATTCAGATATTTAACCTACGCATAGCCAAGCGTTCAGATATTTGTGGTATAGGGCTCGACAAAGATTTAAAAAAGTGAAGCAAGTTGTGCCATCTTATAAATGACCACTAGGTGGCGACATATGAACATAAAAACCAAACACAAGTGCCTCCTGCTGTTTCTTTTTGTTTGTTTGTTTAAGGATATGTAATGGTAATTCACTTTCCTTTCATTTTGTGCCTTTCAAATATATGACCATTTTAACCTTATCCTTTGACATTAGCACAGTCAGAATATTATGTTAAGGATAAATCTGGTTTATCATTTGAAAAGCCAAGATACCTTGGGTGCTTGGGTGGCTCAGTTGGTTAAGCATCTGACTTCAGCTCAGGTCATGATCTCATGGTCTGTGAGTTCGAGCCCCACGTCAGACTCTGTGCTGACAGCTCAGAGCATGGAGCCTGCTTAGGATTCTGTATCTCCCTCTCTATCCACCCATCCCCTGCTATTCTCTCTCTGTCTCTCTCAAAAATAAATAAAACACCAAAAAAAATTTTTTAGAAAAGCCAAGAGACTGTACAAATTCTTTTATTGCACCAATATTCTTGATTAGGTTCCCAATTTCACCGGTCTTAAAATGTCCCCAAACTGGTTCAAATTGTGCCCTCCTTCAACTACTTCTTTGTTGTGGTTTTTTAGTAAGTGTACAATTCAGTACTTTTTTAGTAAACCTATAAAGTTGTGCAGCCATGACCACAATCCAGTTTTAGAACGTTTCTGCGACCCCCCTCCCAAATTTCCCTGGAACCTGTGTATAGTAATCCTCACTTAACACCCCCAGCAGCAAGAGACCACTGATGTGCTTTCTGTCTGTAAATTTCTCCTTTCTGGAGATTTCATGTAAATGGAATATACAACTTGTAATCGATTGCCTGTCTTCTCTCATGTGGCATAATGCTTTTGAGTTTCGTCCATGTCTTAGCATGTTATCATTAGTTCATTCTTTTTATTGCCAAAGAGTATTCTGTTGTTCTCATTCATCAGCTGATAGACATTTGGGTTGTTTTCCCTTTGGGATTATTAGGAATAATGTTGTTATGAACCTTAACAAGTCTTTGTGTGGACAGAGTTTTCATTCCTCTTAGGTAAATACCTGTGAGTGGAATTTCTGGTCGTGTGGTAAATTTATGTTTAAGTTTTTAAGAAATCGCCAAAGTGTTTTCCAAAGTGGCCATGACATTTTATTTTCTTACGAGCAGCGTGTAAAGGTTTCTTCAGCTTCTGTACATTCTCACCAACACTTGTTATTGTCTGCCTTTTTGATGCTACTCCTTCTGGTTGTGGTGAAGGGGTTTCTCCTCTGGGTTTTAATTTGCATTTCCTTATGGCTCAATGTTGAGCTCCTTTGCCTGTGCTTACCAGTCATTATCTTTCTCATTTTCAGTGGTTTTGAAAGGCTCTTTCCTTTAAAGATCTGTAGGGAACTTAAACTAAAACCTAAGTAAAAAATGACATCAATTCTTATAAATCCAAGGAGATCAAAGAAATAGTAACATTTGTAATTATGTTAAGTAACACAATTGTATATAATTTTTTTAATATGTATTTATTTTTGAGAGAGACAGACAGAACACAAGCAGGAAGGGACAGAGAGAGAGGAAGATGCAGAATCCAGAGCAGGCTCCAGGCTCTGAGCTGTCAGCACAGAGCCCGACGCAGGGCTTGAACCCACAAACTGTGAGATCATGACTTGAGCCGAAGTGGGACGCTTAACTGACTCAGCCACCGAGTTGCCCCAACACAATTGTATATGCACTCCGATCATGGTCATGTGAAAAATACTCTTTCACTACAACAGACTGTTAACTTTTAAGAGTGTGGCTCTGCGAGGCTGGATTGGGAGATGGGTCTGGGTTTTATTTTTATTTTCTACAACGCTCATGTGTTACTCTATTTATTATTTTAAAAAAAATTCCGCGGGGCACCCGGGTGGCTCAGTCGGTTGAGCACTTCATGCAAAAACATGAATTGGATTCTGTTGCTCTTTGCTTAAAATGCTTCCATCGCTTTCCATGGAATTTAGAAAAAAGTTGAAACTCTCAGCCTGGCTCATGTGGGGCCCCATGTGACCTTGGCCCCATCTACTTCCCTCTCTCCCCTCTGCCATTCCCCTCCTCACCTCCTGAGCTCCAGCCGTTCTGACCTGCGCTTCCTGCCTCGCTGCCGCCTGGCTTTGTCTTACCTTAGGACCGTTGTTCACGTTGTGCTTTTCTTGACTTGTCTTTTCTTGTCTTTTGCTTTCCTGTCTTTCCCTTTCTTCCCTTTTCCCACACTCAAAGAAGATTAATGTTAATTTGCCAACCAGGGATAATTTTTGCACGAGCAAGGTTGCCTGGTCGTATATTCCATATTTGAGCAGAGCTAGACAGTTAACCAGAGGTCATAAGTTCCTGTGGAAGGGGAGAAGCTTGGATAACCCTCTGTGGTTAGCTGTGAGTGGAACGAAAGTTATGGATCACCTACCTCGCGAATTTGCATGTAATCCTTGCGCAGGGGCCAGGCTAATGTGCGTATTGTTGCAATTTTAATATATGTGCAGCTGAAGCAAGCACTGTGTTATACTTCCTGCCTGGAATCTTTCCCTAGTTGGGTTTTTGTTTTTGTTTTTGTTTAACGCTTATTCATTTTTGAGAGACAGAGCGTGAGTCGGGGGGGGGGGGCAGGGGGAGCAGAGATCGAGGGAGACAGAATCCAAAGCAGGCTCCGGGCTCTGAGCTGTCAGCACAGAGCAAACCCACAAACCGCGAGATCCTGATCTGAGCCAAAGTCGGACACTTAACCAACCGACTGAGCCACCCAGGTGCCTGGCCCTAGTTCTTTAAAAGCCTAGCCCCTTGGTCTTCTGGTCTCAGCTGAAGTGTCACCTCAGTGAGACTTTCCATGACTACTTAATCTAAAGAGCTCCTTCCTTGCTACTCTCTGCCTCCACTCCCTGTTTGCTCTCTGCATAACATGTAGTTTGCAGTAAGTGGTCTATTTCCTTGCTGATTGTCTCCCCTTCATAGATTATACACGTAGGTGCCAAAGGAACTACCTCTGTTTTGCTCACCACGGTGCATAGATATTCAGAAATACCTAGTAAGTGAAACACATTAAGCTGTAGAGGGAAGGGACTAAAGTCACCTTAGTGTGCCCACCTGATCCCCTCCACTTCATCCCTAATGGATTCAGCATGGGGACTTCAAGTCACAGCAAATTCTCTCTTAGGGTATCTCAAAATGCCAGTTGATTCTAACGTATATTGAGGAGAAATCTGTCTTTCTGTCTGAAACTTCCACTTATTTGTAATCTAGAGTGACACATAATACACTTCATTCTTTTCAGTGTCACTTTCAAATATTTGAATATGGCTGCCTCATCCTCCCCACATCCGCCCGTATTACTGGTCCTCAGGGAGCCCGCTCCGTCCGCTGCAGTCACTTCCCTCCCCCTCCGGACCCCCTCACCAATGCTTTTCAATGAACACTTGCTTAATCCGAGGCATCTCAAACAGAATTCAGCATGAAGAATCCTGTGGGATAATTATCTCCTTTATTTGGGATACGACCACTATATACATGCAACATAAGGCAACACAGAATTTCTCTCTGCTTTCTAACAAACGTGTCACACTAGGAACTCACATCAAGCGTGCAATCAACCAGAACCACGGCTTTCATTTTTCACGCAAGAACTCACGTCTCCCCTACCTGGTGCATCTAATTGCTTGAACTTAACTCTGGATTCCAGCTTGCATCCTGTTCCCGGGGATCCGTCAACCTAACCTCTAGATCTCTTTGAAATCCTGCTCCTGTTAGCTGACCTGTCAGTGCTCCCTCCTGACCGTGTGTCACCTGACCACCTGACAAGCCCGCTCCGTTGGACTTCATCTGACTTGCCACGAGAAATGCTACCCCAGGCGTTCAACCTGGACAGATCTCCCCCGGAGAAACATGGCGCCTATGGCATCATGATTTGGGGGATGGTTATATGCCAAAATGCCGTGGCTCAGGCAGGTTCTGTCCCTGTCCCCTGACTTACCAGTCTGCAAAGCAGAGCAGACGAGGAAGTGAGGTTCATGAGGGTGATTTTTTTCTGGGCAAGCAGCACAGGAAGTGGCCCAGAAGCTACAGGGGGATGTGGTTTCTCAGGACAAGAGGCCCCGGTCTCACGCCAGACTAATGATCCATTCAGCGACACACTCCCACAGTCTCCTGTCTTTACCCAGTGCCCGTCTGCCACTTCTCACTTCTTACCTAATCCGCCACCCCCTCCTGGTTCTCTCCCCAGCTTCACCTGCTTCGGGATGAAGGGCGGGCGGTGCGAGGTTAGGGATTTGCTCGGTCCAACAACGAGAGAAGAAGGGGAGTTCATAACTCTTTTGATGAAGATCTGAGGCGGCCTTCCTGGGTAGCCCAGAGCATCCCCTTCAAAAGATGGAGCTCTCTGAGCTCTTCACTTCCCCCTTCAGAACTTCCCCCCCTTTCCTGGATGACTTCCACCTTCATTCGAAGCAGAAGTCTTCCGTAGAGCAGACAGAGCCTCTCCTCTGCTGTAGCCAGGGGGCTCAGCGCTGCGGAGCTTAGCGCCCCTCCTGGCATCTGGAAGTTTCTTCCTGCATGCAGGCAGCCTCCTTCTGGCTCTCGGTCAGTGGGTTCCTTCAGACACCGCTGGTGCCTGGTGCTGAGGACGGGACCGACCCTCCCAAGACCCAGAGAAGAGCTCAGGTGGGCCAGGGGCTGCGAGGCTCTTCTCTCTGTGGTTTCTTGCCTTTTAGTTCTGCTTTCTCACTTTTATGCTAATTGCCCGATCCTTCCCTCCCCTTCCTCTTTTCTTCTCCCTTCTCCCCCTACACCTCCTGCCAACCCTCAACACTTCTTCTTCAGTCCAGCGGCCAGAAGGCAGCATGAAGGACTGGCTGGGGAGGAAGAGTCACCTGGATTCTGTGTGTGCCCACCCGGAGCTCTGCATGCACGTATAAGCAGTCCCTCTCCGTCCTCATGCTTTTTTCGAGATGACCCAATTCCTGCCACTTTCATCATTGCTAACGTCTTGATAGAACAGCTGGACCAAGGGCTAAGTGGTAGATGGAGACATTCTCCCCACCTGAGTGATTTTGCTTTTAGGCTGTACGCCCTACCCAACAGTGTGCATGTACAGTACAAAATACCAACTACCTCACTCCATCCAAACCATGTTAACAGAGCTGAAGAACACAGGTATGGAGCAAAGCCCTGTTCAGGACATTAATTCCATTCATTCTGTGGACTGAATTGTGTCTCCCCAAATTCCTATGATGAAGCTCTGCTTCCCAGTGTGACGGTATTTGGGGGTGGGGCCACTGGGCCATAGTTAGGTTTCGATAAGGTCTTGAGGATGAGGCCCTCCATGAAGGGATTAGCGCCCTTATTAGAGATACTGGAGAGACTCTTCTGTGTGTTTCGCTTGCTCGCTCTCTGTCATATGAGGACATAGATGGAAGTTGGCAGTCTACGAGCTGGGAAGAGGGAGTTTGCCAGTTGGCTGGCGTCTCGATCTGGGACTTAGAGTTTCCGGAACTGTGAGAAACTAAAGTCTGTTGTGTAAGCCACCCAGCCTATGGCACTGTGTTATGGCAGCTCGAGCTGACTGAAACAAATTCCCAAGCTAATTATTTGCTATCTACCATAACATTTGTTTTCCTAATGTGCCATTTGCGCTCAAATCTGCATGCAAATTGAATTAGCTAATTAATACAGGTATAGAGGACCTCAGGATAGGAGTCTCTGGTGATTCCGTTCCCTACTCACTCCCATGTATTTATATATCTTCGTTTGGAACTCCCGGATTAAATGGCCCTGTCCCTTCATTTAACTATAAAGCACTCAGACAATTTTGTCTGAATGTTCCTCTCTCCCCATTGCCTTGATATCCTGGTTCTTTCCGGAACTTCATACTTACCGTCCCGAAATTAGGCTCATGGGCGGTGGACCCAAACAATGATCACATTTTGTAGCAAAACTCATGCTTGGACCTCATGTCTATACCCTGTTCTTGCCACGATCATGTTAAGACTTTAGAAAGCAAAATGCGGGGATCTGGTTTCCTTTGCAGGAACAGAAAGGATTAAAATTTCCAGCCTGTCAATGATGATACCCAACATTTATGAGTTCTAATTCCTTTGCATGCATATCTCATTTAGCCCTTACAATGGACTCCGTGGAGAAATGGGGAGAACCTCCCTGGAGAGATGAGGGAAGAGAGGCAAAGAGTGACCGACCAAGGGGACAGAGGCAGTGACTGATGTCAGGATTCCCACGCAGGCAGTCTAAACCCAGAGGTCACCTTCCTGACTCCTAGGAAACCAGATGTATTCATTGAGCACACCACCAAAAAGGAGCAAAAGGTCAATTTTACCTCACCCGTAGCTTACTTCTCACAGGGGCTCACGTGTTGACTATTTCTTTCGTGCAAAAGGCTTACTAAATATCATAGTTGCCATTTAGCTTTCTGTTACCAGGTTGAGCCGTCTCTTGGTTTACTGCTTTTGAATGACGCATACTTAATACTACACTGGATATCTCCCCTCGATGAAGAAAAGTTTCGAGCAAGGACTACGGACTGGAAACTCAGACTTCAGAATTTTGTACGGGTGTGTTCGGACCTGACCTGACATTAGGTCGTAATACTGATGGGTTTGTTTTTTTTTTGCACAGTGTCCCTACGTGTCACTTCTAGGCCCAGAAGGTATTTGGCCCCCATAGAGGAATAAAGGCCATTCTGACATCAGCACCATTTTATTGGGCGGGTCATATCTTGGGTACGGAGAACAGAAGATTCTCACACAATTCTTAGCCACCAGCAGGGTGGTATAAATAGCTGCCTTCAGATTATTAAACAGTACAAAGATTCCCTAAAGATGGACTCAAGAACTCTTAGCATTTGCCATCAGTCATGGGAGACGGTAAGAAAAACACGCTCTCGTGTGTTCGTTTGTACTGCATCCTGCGGTAGCACAGAGTAGCCACACCATCAACATGCATTGGGTTGAATGGGCATCTGTAGGAAGGAGGGCAAAGAGTGCAGAGGGGTCCCCTGTCTTCCAGTCTAAATTCGCCTCCCCCTTTTAGAGCAAACTGGTGCTTCACATGTGACAGAACAAGCATCTGTCATCAGTTTTCCCGTCCCCATGGTCCCCCTCTTCTACCTTGTATGTGTAACTCTGCTCAAAATGCGACGATAGCATCTTTACAAGTAGAGGAAGCATATGTGATAGAAAGGGGGTTGCTTCTGGAGCTCCTGCATCCAGGTTTAAAGACCAGCTCTTCCACTTTATGCTCATGATACTTTTCCTGGCTTATGCTGTGATGTCCACTTCACAAGTTTGTCGTAAAGATCTAGTCCTCCTAACCCATGATGGTGGCTCGACATAGTGAACATCAGCTCCTTTCTCCTTTCCTCATAGAGGGAATGGATGAAGTCAGTTGTTTCCGCATTGCTAGCCCCCAGCACGTGTCTTGGCACACACAGACTATCTGCAAATGTTTGGGGAATAAATAAAATCTTACTTGCCAGTATATTAAAATTCCTCACTCTGTGTTGGTCATCCAGTTGGTTCTCCAACACTTTAAAAACCTTTTTTGGGGGGTGACTCAGTCGGTTAAGCGTCCGACTTGGCCCAGGTCATGAGCTCATGGTTTGTGGTTCGAGCCCGACATCGGGCTCTGTGCCGACAGCTCAGAGCCTGGAGCCTGCTTCAGATTCTGTGTCTCCCTCTCTCTCTGTCCCTCCCCCACTCCCACTCTGTCTCTTTCTCTCTCTCAAAAATAATTAAATTTTTAAAAATTTTTAATGTTTATTTATTTTTAAGTGACAGAGACAGAGCACAAGTGGGGGAGGGGCAGAGAGACAGGGAGACACAGAATCTGAGGCAGGCTCCAGGCTCCGAGCCAAACATGGGGCTTGAACTCACGAATTGTGAGATCATGACCTGAGCTGAAGTCAGATGCTTAACCGCCGGAGCCACCCAGGCGCCCCTATTCTCAAACACTTTGTGAAAGAAAGACACTTTTTTAAAAAACTTAGGTGTCAGTTATTTATGTACAATAAGTTAATTAAGTTATATACTACTATATATTACATATTAAGTTATACAGAAATCATTTAAATTGTTCCATCTCAAGAAAAGAACTTAGTAAATTTTTACATAGGTGTACATACAGCCGTGAGACCACCAACTAAAGATAAAAGAACATTTCAGTTGCCCCAGAAGGTTCTTCATGCCACTTCCCAGTCAATACTCCCCCAATGGTGACTGCTGTCCTCATAGGGTTGTTTTGCCAGTTCTTGGATTTCAAAACAACAAGCTTACCCTTTTGTGTCTGGCTTACCCTTTTGTGTCTGGCTTATGTCACTCAGGAAATGCTGTGACATTGGTCCATGTCGTCATGTGTGTCAGCAGTTTGTTCATTTTTATTCCGTGTAGCACTCCAAAGTATAAACTACACAACCATTCACCTACTGATGGACAGTGGAGTTGTGGCCAGTTTTTAGCGATACTGGCTCAAGCCATCCTTTTGTGTATGTCTTTTGGTGGCTAGAGCTGTTCATCTCTCTTGGCTAGATGCAAGGAGTGGACTTGCTGGGCCACAGGGCAGGTGTATGCTGAACTTCATCAAAAACTCCCCAACTCTTTTACAAAACAGTTGAGCAAGTTTACACTGCCACCAGCACCGAATTAAGTTCTGGTAACTTCCAGTCCTTACCGGCGTTTGGTAATTTGGTATCACCCTTTACATAGAAATCATCCCGGTGATATAGGTATCTCGTGGTTGCTTTAATTTGTAGATTTCTGATGAGTGATGACGTTGAACATCTTTTCAGACGCTGAGGCCATGGGGCTGCACTAATTAAAATCTCACCTCAAGGGAATCTTCTGCAGGGAACATAGCTGACTGACAGCTTGCAGTGGCTTCATATCATGTCTGCCACGATGCTCATGCCTAGGCCACCTTTTCCCCAGAAAATGTGCTGCTTCCAGTCAAAGACAAAGCAGGGCAGAGATACTAGAGTTAAGCCATATCTGCCCAGAGGAGCGCTTCTCAGATAGCCAACCTTTGTTTAAGAGGCTCTGATCAGCTTGGCACTGCATCTGAAGTTCTTCCTACATCATGCTTCTTCTTTCCCTGTTTCCTTTTATAGATGTCAAACCTGCACCGCAGTCCAGGGCTCTCCCCACCTTCTGCCCCACCCCCTTATTCCCCCCATAGGCATTTCCCTCAGTAGACCCCTCACATGTCTAATCCCACCTTGGCATCGGCTTCATGAAGCCCAAACTGACCTATATGATTATTGACTGTTCTGATAATTCTCTTTTGTAAAACCCCTGTACAAGTCTTTTGCCTATTTTTAAACTGAGTTTCATGCTCCTCCTTTTCTAAAAATGTATTCATAGGGGCATCTCGGTGGCTCAGTTGGTTAAGCGTCCGACTTCGGCTCAGGTCATGATCTTGTGGCTTGTGGGTTGGAGGCTTGCGTCGGGGTCTGTGCTGACAGCTCAGAGCCTGGAGCCTGCTTCGGATTCTGTATCTCCCACCTCTCTCTGTCCCTCCCCCGCGTGTGCTCTCTCTCTCTCCAAAATAAATCAACAATAATAAATAAAATATTTAAAAACAAAAAAGATAAGGTAAATGGAAAGCCAGTTAAGTGAAAAGATACTAGTCTCTCATCTCTACATTTATCAATAGAAAGTTAATATTTATTAACCAGAAGAATCTCATAACGTGATTATATTTAACAAATATAAATACCTCTTTGAGCTTGATGTCATAATTAAAACTTTCTTGGGGCGCCTGGGTGGCTTAGTCGGTTAAGCGTCCAACTTTCGCTTAGGTATGATCTCGCGGTTCATGGGTTCGAGCCCCGTGTCAGGCTCTGTGCTGACTGCCAGCTCAGAGCCTGGAGCCTATTTCAGAGTCTGTGTCTCCCTCTCTCTCTGACCCTCCCCTGCTCACGCTGTCTCTCTCTCTCTCTCCTAGAAATAAAATTAAAATATAAAAAAAAAATAAAATAAAAATAAAACTTTCTGATAGTTTGGTCCAGCCCACAAGCCTCATAAAGTTGTTTTTATCCCTGTTATACAAATTAGGAAAGTGGAGGTGGTTCCCTGATGCTGGGGGTCCTACTTTGTCTTGGTACTGCCCCAGCCCTCAGCCAACCCCTCCCCATCATCTATGATGCTGCTTTTTCAATCCTCCTGAAGGAGAGCTGCTCCTTCCCTGCTAAATAACATTCCGTGGCTCACCCGTGTCCACCAAATAAAGGCCAAGTTCTTGTGTGTGTTCAAGATCTTGTTTCCTGCACATCTCAATGGACTATAAAGAACAAAAACAGCCTATTCATGCCTTCTTCGCCTCCATATCATCTCCTCCTACACAGAGTCGGAATACCTCCGGAGTGATGCATTTTCCATCTCTGGCAGGAGTATGGCAGAGGATTCGAACTTCACAACTGCTTGGACTAGACATGGATCCAGAGAGCTTAAGATTATTCAATTAACCAGGTACAAGACAGATACAGATAGAATAGGTCAAATAAAACTTCCCAGGAGCACAGGGCATGGCTGAGACAGATAGAACACCAGCCACGAAAAGAGAGCAGGGTTGGAAAACTTTTTCCACAAAGCGCCAGATAGTAAACATTCTAGGTATTGCGAGTCATAGAGTCGCCCTGGCAGCCACTCCCTGCTGCCATTTTATTATGACAACAGCCGGAGGTGATATGTAGGCAAACAGGGGTGGCTGTATTCCCACAAAATAGTATTTTAAAAAACAGGTGGTGGGCAGCATTTGGCCTGTGGGCCGCAGGTAGCCAACTCCCGAGACAGAGGGTCACTCTGTTGCCAAATAGGGTTTAAAACACAAGACACTGATGGGAAAACCAGGTGCTGACCTAGAATGGAAAAGTTGAAACCAATGAACAAAAGTAAAACTCTTACTAAGTTTTAGAAAGTAAAATGGATCAAGTATGTAATTGGAAAGAGAAGAGATTTCACATGAAATGGCTCCTGAGTTAGGTGAAAACTTTTATTCAGTTAAAAAAAGAGAGAGAGAAAACAAGATGACTTTGGGGTTGGGTTGCCTGAAAATTCACCACGGGCCAAAGAGAGCAGCGTGGCTTCTCCGAACAGCTACTGTGCTTGCTGTGCGAACGCAGAGCATCCAGAAGAAACAAGGCGCCGACCCCGGAGGACGGGGAGCCATGTTGGTTGAGTCACCACTGGGTCCCTCACATCCATCTCTGCCAGACACCAGGGGGCGCTCACTGGGAAACAATCATTCCCACACTTTGGGCTTGGTGATGCGGTTCGGCATTTGAGTGTCTGTGCAACATCTGAGCCGGATTCGAACGTGGAAAATTGCCATTTGAGCCATAAGCTTCTGAAAGGCGGGACCCAGCAGAGGACAGAGGAAAGAGGGTAAAGGGAAAGAGCACCCGAGGCAGGGGACAGTACCAGAGTCTGCTCTGATTCTCTGATGGGGCTCAATTCTGTTCTCTTTCTCTTCAAAATCCCAACTAAAATCCAAGTTTCTGTGAGGGAAAAAGGCAGGAGCAATCATACTTTCTAGAAGTCTTAACTTTAGCTTTGTTACCTGAAAAATATGCCACCCTACCTGAGAGAGAAGAGACAAATGCGTTGACACACTGAAGGAAACATTTGGAGTATTTCAAACGAGCCAAAAAGGGGGGATAACCATAAGGACCCCAGAGGCTATGGTGGGAGTTCTCAGAGCCCCGTAATCCCCTGGCAAAGGAACTAATTACGTTTGGAGAAGACGTGTGTGCTTGATAAAATAATTAAAAATAAATTGCTCTCCTTGGACATGCAAATCGCCAAGTGTTCAAGCATCCCCATTGGTCACTTAGATAATAGATGCGTTTTCTCAAGTGTGTGCGGAGGCACGGATTGGTTTCCAATTCTGGCTACCAAAGGGCCTGAGCAGCGTTTGAGAGAGAGATGAGGAGTCCTTGGGCCCAGTGGGAACACTTGTCATATCCTGGGGGACAGCTGTTAAAAGCCATAAGCCATGACACTCCCCAACCCCAGCCCTCCTGACCCTTCCTGGCTGAGAACTGGGGACTCTGAGGAACTAGACTTGACCCAGTGATCCCCCTGGGCTCCTAGCTCATGCTGGAGGAGGAGGGGATGGGGCTCTGTTACTCTCCTCTACCCTCCACCCCACCAAAGAACTACCACAACACTCTGTGCTACTACCCAGTGCTCTCAGGCCAAAGAAAATAAGGCATTGGCTAAGAGCCAGGACCCAGATGGGTCTTTTGGTGTGGGGAGGAAGGGGAGACATGAGGCCTTGCGGGGGTTGACTGTTGTGAAAAAAAAAAAAGTTTTCCCTAATGACCTAATACTTCTTATAGAGAAAAGAAGAAAAGGAGAGGAGAGGTGAGAAGAGATGAGGTGAAGTAGGGAGGGAAGAGGAGGAGAGGGGAGGTAGAAAGAAATGGGAGGAAGGGAGGAAGAAAGAGGAAGAGGAAACTCAAGACTACAAAATGCTTTATAATTTCTTCAAAGAACCCATCAATACTGATTAGACACCGTCTACGCAGTTGATTAGGCACCGTCTATGCAGAGCATGCTCTTGAGTACCATCTATAGATGGGATGGAGGGGAAGACAGGACTTCTGCATTGAGGGAAGTCACATCCACGTTGGGGAGTAGACCTGATGTGAATGAAGGGCATATTCCCAATTCCTTTTTGCCTTGCTGACATCAGGCCCCTTCCCACACCTCTTATTTGGGGGCAAAAGATTACCTAGAGCCAGTGTGACTGGACCACTCGGAATGCTTTCCTGGGAATCAGTGACTTATGGGAGGAGAGATGAGGGCAGCCTCGCCCTGGGCTTGGCCATAGGGTCTCACCTCATACCCAAGACTGTGTGAGGGAGGCTCTCCCCTGACAGAAGGGGACCCTGCACCTCAGTGAGGTGTGGCAAATGACAAACAGGGTAAATCACTTACCCCCTGGGGGGAGGCAAGGAGTAGATGAGGTAACACACAAAGAAACACTTAGCGGTGAGGGGCAGCACACACGTGCTCAATAAACGTTCCCTCTGATTCCTAGGTAACTTGCTCAAGGCCACACATGCCAAGAAGGACACAATCAGGATTCAGTCACACGATGCTCAGTCCAATTCCAAAGCCCACACTTTCCACAGGGCTGCAGGTGGTTCTCAGTGTTCAGTTGTCTTCCTCCTCTTCCCTCCGCATGGCCATCCAGTCTTCAGCCCCTTTCATGTCTATCCAGAGAGGCTTTTCTTTCTGTGCTTTCAGCCTCAGTGCCGACAACTCCCTGGCTTTGTGGTACAAGCAGAAGAGGGAAATGAGCAGAAGGAGAAACAGAATGCAGGGGCAGATGAAGAGGAAATAGAGTAAAGGTGTTGATGAGCAGATCCTGGAGAGAAATGTGAGTTCTGCAATGAAAAGAACAATAAAGAAGATAATTAGTCTCCAGCTTACCTGCATGAATCCATGCTAGACACTTGGGGGATTTATTGTTACAGCGAAATGTATGTAAAAATAGTGGGGCCAAGTAGCGGTGGGCCCTTTAAATCGTACGTGCACAGAGAGGAGGAGCGGCGGGGAGAAGGGAAGTCCAGAAGAGGGCTCCTCCAGCCCACTGCCTCCACCCAGCAAGTTCCAACCACTGGGGGTTCCAATGACCTACTTAAAACCAATAGCCTCGAAGAAAAACAAAACCGAAAAAGCAAACCTCTCCTTTAATCTTCTGTCCTCAGAAAAGAGATCTATAATTCAGCCCTCATTCTCAGCTCTGCTGCCGGTCCTGAATTTTTAACTGAGTTATTCCCACTGCTGCTGCTTGAGTGTGCGCGCTCACGTGCACAGGCGTGGGTGCACACACACGTGCACATGCGCACACTCACACACTGCGCCGTCATTGCACAACAGCACCTACAGTGAGAAGCTCGGTCCGGTCTACCCCCGCCCCCCGGGGCACTCTCCGTTCGGCTGTGCTGCCCTTCCTGTTGCCTCAATCGGGCACACTCTCTGTATCTCAATCCTCTGAGTCCTCCTGGGCCAGCGCCGACAACACTTCCTCTCCCGGGTCCCCCCACCTGCCTCGGCACAGCCTTCTCCGACACTCCTTTCACACGCCCCTCGGTGCAGACCTCTTTTGTTCCTCCTTATCAATCTCCTTACCTCAGTTGAGGTGCGACTCAGTACGACTGATCGAGTCATCTGTTTCCATGTCCCCTGCTGTGCCCAGCACTTGCGTGACTACATAAGTTGATCCGAATTGAATTGGGCTGACTGCAACCACACGGGCAAAGGATACTAAACAAAGGCCAGCTGAAGCACATGACCTTCGGGGGACTGCAGTCCACGGGGAGCACTATGAGTGCCCAGATGCGCCAAGCATACACAAGCAGTCCCAAAGTGGCTCCGGGCCACACGGCCAGAGGAGCAAAGGGACAGGGCTGCAAACACCGCAGGTTCAAGGAAGCAGTGCCTAACACGGCCTCCACACAGAAAGGCACATGTTTAGAGAGACACCAACTACTATGACACATTTACTTATGACAGGATACTTGAAATCGGGGCTTTTTGGAAAACTCTGATGCTAATAGTCGCTGAGCTTTTACTGGCGAATTGTAATGACATAAGCAATTTCTTCAAAGGTTAACCTATAAGATTCATGGATTATACACTCTTAGAGATGTAAACGGCTTTAGAGGTCATTCCCACCAACGTCTACCGCAAGAATTCCATTTTCAGCATTGTTGACGCCATTTTGCACCTTGAAGAATGTCTCTTTGTTGGAAGTCAAGAAAGAGCCTCAACATTTGCCCAGCCCCTGCCTTGTGAACTCCTGAAGGGACGGCCCGTGTCATATGCATCTTTGTCTCTCGTACAGCACTTTGTTCAGAGGTCATCAGAGGAAACTGATGAATGAATCAATTGTGTGAGTGCACCACACACAGGAACCCAGGGGTGGCTGCCGTCTTGCTGTACAGAGTAAAGATCATCACTGAACATTAGGCTGGCAGCTCTGAACAGGACTTGACGAGCTGCAGGGGTTTGCAGCTGGATGTTCTCTGGCTCGTTTACATTCTTCATCCTAAATTTGGTTTTGGTTTTTGAAAGGGTGAGCGATGATAAAGCTAGACTTTTCGTTCTTTATCACCCTCCATCTTTATGTCCTACCTGAGCCCTCTCTCCAAGGCCCTGCTTGACTACAATCATTCTCCCAGGTCTTAACATATCTGAAGGCGTGTGGCTAGGAAGTAGGTAGAGATGGCAATACTGAAAGAGACCAGAACTGTAGGGAACAGCGGGTGAGAACACTGGCTTCAACACTTCACACTACTCATGCACACAGTAGTGACTGAGTACCTCTTCCATCTCGAAGAGAGTCAGGTTCACGTTCTGGCTCTTCCACGTACTGTTATTGACACTGGACCAGTTACTTATTCTCAGTAACGATTAGTTTCCTCAATGATCAAATGGGGATAATAATTTCTAGAGTTGTGATAGGATAATAAAGTATTTAACAGAGAGTTCAGCACATGTGAGTCAGCAAGGAATAAATATTAATACACGAGTGAGAGAGTTAGGAATATCACAGGCAACTCTCTCCCAAGAGACTGAATAGAAATCAGGGCCTGACCAGCTGACTCTCCATGCTTGGCCACACACTTGGCCACGTTCTTCCACAGGCCAAGTCTCTCCCTCAAATCTCTGGTCCCTCTATCTCCGCGGCTGGGTGACATTCCACTGAGAGTCAAATGATTACATAGGAGACTCTGACTTCCCTTCCCCATCTTGGGAGTCAGAGAATTGGGAAGTGAGAGTCCACCTCTGTGTCACCATTGCTAGGATGGTCATACAATACTGAAGAGATAGCGCCAGCACACAGAAGGTGAAAAGAAATCTGGTACTTGGCTTTTGTTTTTCCCTACTGAGACTCTAACCTTCACGCGAAGGGACTGCCAGAGGGCTTGAGTATCTTAATGGGGAGGAGACTGCTCTGTTTAGAGCAATCTGCCATCAAAGGATGGCCAAGCGCGCTCTTCACAGCTCTGAATTGGCTAAGAGCTAGCAACTGTCAGCTCCAGTGCTTCTAAATTACCTCTCCTGGGAGGGCAGTGTTTGCTCTGGATCCCATGGTCACCATTCCCCACCATCTGCCTCCCACCCATATCTGGATTAGAATTAGTGACATCCAAAACCATTTGGTTTGGCACTTCAAATCAATCCGAGTAAGTGCCCGATGCTCAAAGTACAAGGTCTGCAAGACAGAGCCAAAAATGTAATGAGAACACTTCATCATGAGGCTCAGTTTATAACGTGCTTCCACCCACAGCCAAACACACCACGAGGACCATTCCTTTTCAATATTACCTCAGAAATACTGACTTCAGCAGAAGACAGATGCAACTCTGCCCCCACCCCAACCCAAACTTCAGCAACTGACGATGCCAAGTGTGGCCACGTGAGAGAATCGGCTCCCGCCAGGAAATGAAAGTGGGGTTCAGGAACCCGATTCAAGTGCATCCCAGAATGAGTGATGTCTGACAGTATCCTGTTTCATCTGAACTGAAGACTCACTTGCTCAGTCTTTTGTGAAGCATTTCATGATTACTTCATGCCAGACTTTGTTGGAGGCACCGGGGTGCATAGAAAAATGCTACAGTCTCTCCAGAAACTTCATTCTGGTAGGGGCACATATCTCCCTTGAATCTTTACTTTCTAATATATCCTTACCCAACTAGAAGCCGAGGAATACTAACCAATACATAGGATTACAAGTAATCCAGTCCCCAGGAAGCCTTTGCGTCTTGTCTATTAATTAATCACAGAGAATTCTCTAGAATAAGACATTTCTGTCCGGGGTCTGAGGATGAGGTAGAAAGACTAAGGTATCTCTAGCCCCTGCCTTGGCTTTGTCATAGGTAAGGAAGTCAGATGGAGAAGACAGTGTGAGGTCCATTCCATTCCCCCAGGGAGGTGCCTCTTAGCTTTTCTGTCTACACTTGAGCCACATACGCCACAGATTTGTTAAGTAGTCCTAAACTAACCCACCCTGAATCTGCCACAGGGAGGTGGCGGAAAGCATCTGAGAAGCAAGAGTTGCCAGCATGTTGTATTTGACCTGGGCTTCATTAATACACAGAGCGGGTCCTTATCGGGAGTGTGATTACACTATGCTTCACTAAGTCTTTGAGCGTCTTCTATGTGCCAGGCACTGTGCTGTGCTGGGAACAAGACACTCAGTGTTTGCCTTCTCAGAATGCACAGTACGGCAGTGCTGCTGGATGTTAGACAGGGGTGATGGCTAAGACACTAAGGGAAGTCCCTGAGAGGGTGGCGGTTAAGTTGGGAGGTGCAGGGTTAGTAGATGTTGACCAGAGAAAGAAGGCATGGAGGAGCACTGCAGTCAGAAGGTGGTATATCTTCACCTTCTTCCTCTCTGGAATTTTTAAAAGCACTCAAGTCCCCACCAGCTCCAAACCAAAACGGAACAAAGTAAAACTTCGCTGACACCTCTTGCCACCTGTTATTTTTCTCTCTTGCCTTCACATCAAAGCTCTTGAAAGTGTAATCTGTATTTTATGTGTCTGCTATCTCACTGTGATCTGCCCTTTCTCATTACTTCTCTGCAACTGCCCTACAGTGTGGAGTCCAATGGATACTTTCCCATTCTTATCTTAACTGACCTCTTGGCGATGGTGGAGACTGTTGGCTTTCCCTTCCCTCTTGCTACCCTCTCTGCTTTTGGTTTCCATGATACCACCAAACCCTGGTTCCCCTCCAACCTCTTGGCTACTCCTGTCCTTCCCCTTCACAGTCTCCTCTTCAACAGTGGCTGTCTTAGGGATGCATCGTTGGGCAACGTTATTGGCTAGAGTTGATGACTATAGCTCTAACAAAGAGCTCTCTTGGAAGTCCCTGGGTCTCTTGGATAGAACTCTGGATAACACACATACTCCACTCTCAATTCTAGCCCAAGTTGCTCAAAATTGAACTAACTTTACATTCAGACCTTATATTACCTCATTTAGTGATTGTCCCCACTAACCAGCCATACTAGATACTTGATATTCATCCTTGATTCTCCCCTTCTGCTCATTCACCCTCCACATGCATCTAATCAGCCTCTAAATCCTGAAGATGATACCTCCTAATGCTGCCTGCCTGCCCTTTTCTCAGCCCTCATTAAGGCACTGCCTTCATTTGGGTCTTTATCTTGTCTCACCTGGGTTCCTACTATCAATTTCAAATAGGTCTCTCTGCTCCGTGACTGCCTCTCTTCCAACTCACCTTTAACAGGGTTCCCAGTGGGAGCTTTCTAAAATGCAAATCTCATGATGTCACTCCCCTGATTGAACTTGCTCGCTGACACTCCATAAGGTTCATGAATAAGTTCACCTTCTTTAGCCACATACGCAGGATGTGTTTGAGATCCGTACCCTCCCCATCTCACTAGCTTCCTTTCTTGCCCTTGCACCACAGTTTTTATGATTATCTTGCCTAGCCTTTCCTTTTCCTAAACTATGTTCTCTTCCTTTCATAGGCCCCATACTCCAGAGGATTTCCCAGATCTCCTCCCCACCCAGCCCTTCACCTCAGCCCTGCTTCTGCTCCTTGTCCAGCGCCCTAAGGCTACTTCTTTGATGACACCTGCCGTTTTGGACTTCACTTCCCCATCAAAATCTGAGCTCTTTGGGGGATGCCTGGGCGGTTCAGTTGGTTAAGCATCCGACTCTTGGTTTCAGCTCAGGTCATGATCTCATGGTTCGTGAGTTCCAGCCCCGCATCAGGGTCTGTGCTGACAGCGTGAAGCCTGCTTGGGATTCTCTGTCTCTCCTCTCTGCCTTTTCCCCACTCACACACACTCACACACTCTCTCAGAAAATAAACATTTAAAAAAACAAAACAAAAAAGAATCTGAGCTCCTTGGGAACAGACTCTGTAATACATGTTTTTGTGATCTCAGAAGCTCACATAGTTATTTATTGAACAACTTGAAATATTTTGTCATGGGGCACCTGGGTGGCTCAGCCGGTTAAGAGTCAGACTTTGGCTCCAGTCATGATCTCGCAGTTTGTGGGTTCAAGCCCCGTGTCGGGCTCTGTGCTGACAGCCTGGAGCCTGCTTTGGATTTCTGTGTCTCCTTCGCTCTCTGCCCCTCCCCCACTTACACTCTGACTCTCTTTCTTTCAAATATAAACATTAAAAAAATAATAAAAGGAGTAAGAGGTATATATTAAAAAATATTTTGTCATGTATATAGATATATCCATATGTATATGCATATGTGTGTGTGCATACTGTGTATATGTGCATGTGTGTAGCATGTTTGGAGGCATAAGGGGAAAGAGTCAACATTTCCTGAGCACTTACAACATGCAGGGACTATGCTAGCTACTTTATACACATTTGTATTATGATCCTCATTTTATGAGTAAGCTGGGGCTCATAGAGGGTAAGTAACCAGGCTATGATTTCACGGCTCATAGATAGGTGGCAGGGGGCTGTGATCTGAGCCTCGGCATGTCTGATTCCAAACCCTGGGATTTCTCATCCCTCCACACTGCCTCCCAAAGTACCAGGATGGAGCAGCCAGGTAGGGGAAGCCAGATGCTGTAGGCACGGATTTACTTGGGAACCCCCTAGCTGTGCCTATAAGGAAAACCCTCAGCTTATCACGGCACAAGTTTTCAAGCTTCTTCAACTGTAAAGAATACAAAGACCTCCCAATTGTTAATGTTTTCTTTCCAGAGTTCCTCTTTTAAGAACCTTACACCTGGCGTATAAGGATTCTACAAAGATTAACAATATCTGTATCTATCTATATGTATATGTATGTGAGTGTATATATATATATATATATACATACACACACAATATATATATATTGCTGCAAAGGATCCCATGTCTCTCAGAGGAGATGTACCTTTCCGTCACAGAATATGTATTTTTTACAGTTACTATCTGTTTATTTGGCTCAAAAAGTGCTGATTCTCCAGAACCTAGGGATTCCAGGGAGAAAACACGTATGGAATGTGCTCAGGTTACGGGGCTTCCTGTAACTGCTAGAATAGAAGAGCAGATAGGAAGAAAAATTCCCTCTGGACACCTGTCTTCTCCCTCTCTCGCTGCCTCTCTCTCTCTCTCTCTCAAAACTAAATAAACATTTAAAAATTTACATTATAAAAAACTGAAAGAAAGGAGCAGCTCAGAGACGAGCTGGCCAGATCAGCCAGGACATGGGATCACCAGGGAAGATTTACTGGTCTGGCTGGAGAAATTTTTGCTTTCATTAACAAATGTTTAACGAATGCCTATTACATGCTTGGCACCATACTGGCTGGAAGGTTGCCCTCGGCTCCTTCACAGCCTCTTGTCCCACTCCCCTCCTGAAGCTGTGTACTCCGCTGGGTAGGACGGCCTTCCCATGTGCACAGTGGTCACTTTTTGGCCAAGGTCTGCCCTCCTTTGGCCGTAGCTGCCCGCCTTGCTGGACTCCAGAAACAAGTTCAACAACATCTTCCTTTGATGCCTGCAGTCAGGTGAGGCCCAGCCACCACCTGACTATCAGTATCAAAGCCCTCCCGATGTGCTGACAGAGAGATAAGAAGTGTGGCGCTTAATTCATTAAGAAAAGTTTTGCTTTGTCTTGGAGGTGGGGAGCATTTAGAGGTGGGTGACTTCAGCTATAGACCAAATGAAACGTAAGGTCGCCATGCCCCTGTCCCTCGTTCCAACTCCCTCTGCAGATCCGAGCATTCTGAGACAGGAGAACCAGGCAAGAGGTAAAGGTGTCTGCTTCGAACACAATTTTGTTATTTAAAAGGATACGACGGTGATGGCTTTTCTGTTCAGGAGGGGGAAGGGAGGAAGCAGGTCCAAGGCCCCTGACATTCACACATGTGTGCGAAAACCTCACGCAGACCTTGTCCGTCCAAACGAGAAATAGCGATTACTCTCAAGAGAAATTGCAAAGTCTCTTTCTTTAGGGAATCTGTACGTTGCTTTCAGCAAAACGTAACTGGGAGGAAACCACAACGGGGGAGACAAAGATTCTCCTGACCAGGAGCCAGGGCAGATTAACCCCTCGTTACCTGAAGGCAGCACCGGGAACACCACATGCTGCGACTCATCTGATGCTTGGCTGACCCACATGCCAGGGCTGCTGTGTGGCTGCCACTCTGTCACCTTGCACCAGTACATTCCAGAATCTTCTATCTCTACCCGGTGAAGTTTCAGGACAAAGTCTGTAGGGGATGCGCGGTAACAGGACACATGCCCCCTGAGCCCCTCATCACCATACTCCAGCAAGCCATCGTACTGAAGGTGTACCAGCATGTTCCTTCCTGAATGCTCCCTGCTGCGGAACCACATCACAGAGAACAGAGAAGCCGGGCTGCCAGAACTCTCCATGCTGCAGCGGATGGCTGCCTCTCTGTGCTCGGTAGCATTCTCTGTCCAGTACACTTTGGAGACACGTACCTTGCTTCCTAGGAAATAAAATGGCAGTAAGTTAGAGAAGAATCCAGATGGTTAGATTTGATACCCCCTCTGGACAATCTTTAGATACCACGTCTCTTGTCTTTAACATTTTTACTTGACCTCTGTCCTTCTTCCACATTTTCTAGAACATTCTGTGCAATGAAGCAAATCAGCCATTGCCCTTCAGCCCTACCTCTGGTCTGCTGAAGGCCTGTCCAGAAACCACCCAGCTTCACTGGGGGCTTTGCCCTGTTGTTTCACTTCTCCCTGGCCAACTCTCTTCTGCTGCCCAGAAGGATCATTCAAAACTTCTGGCTCTTCCCTCAAGTCGTGTACTGCACCACAGCCCCTCATTCTTGGCAAATTACCTTCCTCCCATACACCCAGATGTCATCTCATTCCTAGATGCAGGGAAAGAGGAGGCTATCCGGGAGACTGAATGTTTTTATACAAGTGTTAGAATGCTACTCAAGGAGAGACTATTTCAATGATTGGATTAGACTACATTTTAAATAGATTTTGACATTTACTTTTTACGAATTTTCTCCTGGGGCACCTGGGTGGCTCAGTTGGTTAAGCATCTGACTCTTGATTTTGGCTCAGGTCATGATGTCTCATGGTCCATGAGTCCGAGCCCTATGTCAGGCTTCATACTCATGGAGCCTGCTTGGGATTCTCTCTCTCTCTCTCTCTCTCTCTCTCTGTCTCTGCCCCTCCCCTGCCTTGCAAAATAAATAAAGAAACTTAAAAGAAATTTTCCCCTCCTAACCAGCCAGTGAGAACTTCAAAGGAAGGCCAGGGTAGTTACTAACAAAACAAAGAAACTACAGTATGTGCTAAATTTTCAGCTCTACTACAAACACACTGATTAATATATCTTAAAATTTTTTAATGTTTATTTATTTTTGAGAGACCGAGAGAGACAGCATGAGGGTAGCAGAGAGAGAGGGAGACACAGAATCAGAAGCAGGCTCTAGGCTCTGAGCTGTCAGCACAGAGCCCGACACGGGGCTCGAACTCAGGAACCATGAGATCGTGACCAGGGCCAAAATCCCAAACTCACTGACTGAGCCACCCATGTGCCCCATATCTTTCTCTAAAAGGATAACTTTGTCTGCTCCTGGATCTTTGTTGTTGTTGCCATATTTACTCTCTCCCTCTATTCATGGCAAAGTATGTGAAATATTAGTTTATATGATTCTGTCTCTGCTTCATCTCAAATTCCTCCCTACTTTAACGCAATCACCTTCCAATTCTATCCCATTCTCTGGCCAAGATCCTTAGTCTGGGCCCGATTTCCCAGCTAAAGACACTCTAGTTTTTTGTCCTCAGTGAATTTTATCACCAAAGTCCATTTTCTCCTTGAAATCCTCTCCTCTTTTGATTTCAGAGAAAATATCTCTCCTACGGTCCTGACCACTCCTTCTCAGTATCTCTCCCCAGGGTCCTCTTAACTCCCTCCCTGCACCGGGGTACACTGCTGGCCACCCCCAGTCAGCCACACCCAGCCCACAGATATGTTTTCTTTGACACCAACAGTATTTTTTTTTTTTTAATTTGGATTAGTTGTGTATGTGTACAGTCTCAACCGAGTGATATCACCAAGAAAGATTTTAGGCATTTCTTGATGTTCTAAAAGATAGGACAGCACTGAGCCCACATTTCCGGATGGGAAGTGCTTGCTAGCCTGAGCCAAGGAGCCAATGTCTCCTTAAAGGGGTATACAAACACTGTCACGATTTGGCTTAGGCAACTGGGAGAAAGGGCTGCCAGCCAGAGGGAGAATGGAGAATGCAGACATGTGTGCGGGTCTTGTGGGATGGCAAGGGTGATAATGGGGTTTGGGATGTGCTGAGCATGAGGGTCTCATCCAAGTAGAAATGTACAACAGGCCGTCGGGAAGAAAGATCTGGAGCTCAGGAGATCGGAGCAAAGCATAAAGACTTCGTGCTACTTCATCGAAGGTGATAGTTGAAACCAAGAGGGCATTTAAGAAGTTCTGGAGAGAGCAGAGAATAATGGGCGAATGGGGTTCAGGATCAGTCCCCCAGGAACACTCACATTTACCAGGGAGGAGAAGGGCCTGAAGAACATGGAGAAGGGGAACCAGAGCAGCAAGAAAAGAGAGCCCTGTGCTAAGCTACTGTTTCCCTCCACTGCCCCTCACAGACCTTAAGCTCCTTAAGGCAAGAGCTGTGCCTTATTTCTCTTCATGTCTCTAACTGTCTAATACATGCTCATGTTCATTATAATCTTATTTGTGGATGTTCCATTGAACATGCAATCTTAAGCACCAAACTAGACTCACTTCATTGCATTGTGCTGTTGGATCTCCGCCAGTCCCGAGCCTTCGCTGTGACATCCATCTCATTTTATTCAACACTGGAGGTGACCTAATGGATACCAAGAGATCTAACCAACCCTGCCCACACTGAGACCGCGGTGCTCTTAGACCAGTGCAAATGGATCGAACTTCTCTTACAGTTTTAAAGCTCTCCTGAGGAAGAGGAGCCTCCCTCAGGAAGCCATTCCAACCGTTAACTACTCTTATTCACCGTATGTTTAGGCAGCCAAATGTTGAAAAGCAATTTCTCCACACATCCCTGTAGAGTTGTACAGTTTCTGTTCACAGTGGGGGAAATATGCTTCGTATTACTCTTTCTAAGCCAAATTATAGCAGAGCCCCACTGGAACGACACAGCTTGTTATTATAGAGATCTAGAGATACGATACCCTGGGTAGCTGTGTAGAGCAGTCTCCGGGCTGACAGGTGAACCAATCAGAGGGCTCTTGTGCCCATCCAAGCTCCTCAAAACCTCAGGCCAACTCACCATAAGTGACCCCTGCCTTCTCTGCTGGGCCACCAGGTCCTGCTTTCATTGTGTAGGTGGGCCCTGTTCCTATGACCCTGGGTCATATTTCTACCTTCACATAATCACACCATTGTAGAGCTGCCCAAGAGAAGAGGGCAATCCTACAAAAAGCCGTGTGAGAATACACATGAGGTTTACCTGTGGGCCTGAGTTTTAGTTCTGTCGCCCCTGACTTCTTTTCCCCAAGCTTGCACCAAGTGCCGTTTGTAGATAAGAGCCATTCCTCCACAGCGCAGAGGTATTTGCCCTGGTCGCTTTCTTCCACACTCAAAATGTGCAGCTGAAACAAGTCTTGGGAAACTTTCTCAGCGTGGAATTTTTGTTTTCTCTGCGGGGTGCGAAATTCATCCCCGTATTTTATGACATTGGTTTGGTCCATCTTGAGGATTGTCAGCCAGGTTGCATTCATGGACATGGGAGAGAAGTACCAAGTAATGGCCAAGTGGAGGTCTCCAGTGGACTGAGACAAGATGCTACATTCTATGTCGGTGTTGGAGTTGATGAAGATCTCTTCGACTTGACTGCTTGAGTTCACTCTGAGCTTGTTCTCTGAATTAAAAAAAATGGGGGTGGTTGCTTTGTTACTTTGCTAGACAATGGAATTTTAAGGCAGAAGGGACATTAGAGGCCACCTGGGACAAGGCCCCCTCCATCCACTGGATGTGGGAATTTGCTCCCCAGTAGCCCCAGTCACAAGCCTCTGAATAGCTCCCCAGCTGACAAACCAGCCCATTTCATCTGGACATCTCTGTAGAAGAGAATTCTTTCCTATATCAAGTTGAATTTTACCACTCCATACCTTCCAGCCACCGGTCCTGGTTCTACCCTTCTTACCTGCATGAGTTGGATAGGGAATGTGGGGCGGGAGGAAGTGTCATACAGAAAACTAATCTCTTCCACATGATAATGCCTCATTATTGAAACTTAGACATCATCTCTTCCATAGCATTTCATAAATCAAAGTGAGAGAAAGCGGCCCTATTAATGCATTGTCTGTGTGCTCTCTCTCCAGAGTACCCCGAGATTCACAACATGTCCTTGTTGGACATGCCCTCGAACATGGGTAAACAATAGGAAGTTGTATATGGGCTATTAACATTGTATGTTTCTTTGCAGCCAGTCGACTGTGGGACTCTCATACAGATGCAAAGTCAACTACCCTTATATTCCAGCAGCTTTTCTGCTCTGTTGGGATGATGAATGCTAAAGCCTGCCTTCCAAACCTTATTCTAACCTCTTACTGACATCACTGATTCTGCTTTTGTAACTGCTTCTTGAAGTTGCCAGTAGATCCCTTTATTCTTCTTTCAGCAAACATTTATTAAGCACACACTGTGTTCTGTGCCAGACTTTTCCCCATTCTGTAGCTACCTCCCTTCAGTGGGTTCAGTCTAGAGGGAGACACTAGTACAGTCACAGAGGCTTAGGATTACAAGACTGTGCCACCCAAGAGTGACAGAGGTCTGCAGAAGCAGCTGTCAGAGCACAGGGCATGACTACCTAACTCAAATATGAGAGTGCAGAGAGGCTTCCTAGAGAAGAGACCTCTAAGCTAAGGCTTAAGAGTTAATAGGAATTAGTCTCATGGAGAAGAGGCTAAAGAGTTCTACACAAAACACATGACTTGAGCAAAGACTGAAAGAGACAGAGAACATAGAGCATTTGAGGGTATGCAAGTAGTTCAGTGTGGCTGGAGCTCAAATTCAAGATGGAAAGTAGAAGACAAGGCTGGAAAGACAGAAATGGACCAGGCCATGCTATAGGAGTTCGGATGAGGTGGATTTGAAGGCGTTGTGGACTTCGGTTTCTCACTTGGGCCACGGGTGGGTCATGAGGACATGGAGCAGAGTGAAAAAAGAGTAGCTTTGGAAGGGTAAACATGGTGCATTTGTGTATGGACTTACTAAGTGTAGATATGCCTTGGAGGTAATTGCAAAGTGAATCTGGAGATCAGAGAGAGGCTTTTCAGGATAATGGATTTGAGAGTTGTCAGCAAATAGGTTGAACCAGGGGTAGGAATAAGCACACTTCAGGGACTGAAAAGAGTAAGAAGAGAGCAAGCTGAGGGTGAAATGCAAAGAAATGGATCTGCGAAGGAGGAGAATTCTGCGAAAGAGAATGACAAGGAGCACTCAGGGTGTTAGGAAGGAAACCAAGAACATCCTGCATCATGAGACCGAGGAAAAAGGGAGTTTCAAGAGGAAAGGATTGAGTCGACAATTTCAAATACCATGGAACGGACAGGTCCATGAAGGCACAAGTCAATCAAGGAGGAGATCATTACTAGTACTGAAGATGTCACTTAGCAGCAGAGAGAATGATTGCTACTACGTCTGAGCATCCGCTCCATGCATCAGGCACAGTACTAGGCACTATATATATATAATGTGGTATGTATGTATATATATACATACATATATATATACACACACACACATATGTGTGTGTATATGTATGTATATATATACACACGTATATACGTATACGTATATATATATATACATACGTATATATATACACACGTATATACGTATACGTATATATATATATATACATACGTATATATATACACACACACACACATATATATACACATATATACATATATATGTGTATATAATGCACATCTTTAAAGAGCAACTTATGAATGAAGCACCACAGCTATGTTGCTATCCGGTGCCTGTCAGATGGAAATGACTTCAAAGGCTCTTGAACACTCTGCCTTAAAAGAACGGAAGTCGTAAAAGAAGACACGTGACCCAGCAGAACCTTGGCCAGGTTGTGTCTTACTTTTTACCTCTGCTCTTTTACCAGCTGACGAGGTAAGTTATACTCGACCATAATCATCTCCTCTCTCTTACACATTAACATGGTAAAACAAGGGGATAAATGTATTCTAATGGAATTTACATCATCCATACCACTAATGTTGACACTGCAGACATTTGGTGACTCGTGAGGCCTGGGCAGTGACCAATCCAAAAGAATGCCTCCCCGCTCGAGCTGGTCCTAGAGGCCCCCTGTTGTGCCACAGGGTACCCTGAAGGTGCTGGGTGGTGGGGACTCATGGGAAGAGGGGAGGGGCAAGGATCCACAGTTATTATTAGCCAGTGTGGAAGTCTGTCAGTGTTTTAATAACCAGTATGGCCAACCCATGCATATCAACTCAATGTCAGCCTGGACATCAGTGTTCTATGATACTAACTTACACAGTAAGAACATGGCAAGAAGGTATTTGATGTTTTCATTCTATGAACTTATCCAAAATGGGAGAGATGTGTTGGTTTGTTTTTAAAGTGGGGGTTAATTTCAAGTGGTGTTTACCTGGCAAAGTGATGACTATCATTAGTGGGTGAGAGATGGCAGAAGCCCTCGCGGGGCCGCTCGTGTCCAGAGGATTTCTGGAGTAAACTTCTACTTGACACCGATAAACTCCTGCTTCTTCCTCGGTGGCATCGTGAATTAGGAGCTGAGAATAAAGAGAGGACTGCGAGACCTTTGTCTTCTTTTGGAACTGAGAGAGGAAAGCCCCCCATTCAACAGTGCCGTTATGGGCGATTCGAACAAGCGGATGAAAGACCTGAGATCTTGCTGGCTGGAATTGCCATGTCACGGTGAGGGGCACCCCAAGGTGGGAGAAGCCAGCCTCCACTATGCAGGACAAGCCGAAGGTGTTGGCTAATGTCACTTGGGGATGACGGGACATCAGCTTAACCTGTAAGCTCGACTCTGTGGGCAGAAATAGACGGGAAACACGATTTCTAATATGTTGATCAAATCAAAGCCTTCCTTCTCACCTATTCACACAGAGCCATGCATTCGTACATCGGGAGAATCAGATCTTTGGGGGTAAAAGTTGACTCAGGGTACAGTCTGTCCTGAATTCTGTCCTCAGTTTCCCAAATTTGACCCTCTTCCTGGAGTGTTCTCAGCAGCAACAATAAACAGGCAGTGTCCCTCCAGTCTGCTGTTTAGACAGCTGCTACGGAGTGGGTGGAGCACTACTCCCCAGCCAAGTGGCTGGCCTCCTTCCCATACTTCCACTCACGGGCTCAGTGTCACTGTTTGGAACATGCTAGAAGACACTCTGCAATCCCAGGGCCACAGCTGTCAGAAGCCCGAATGTACGAGCTCAGCTCCACTGGTCACGTGTCCTCTAGAAGCCTGTGCCAGGTCACAGGCTTTTGTTTTTAGCTGTGAATAACAACCTGCAAGGACGACCCTACGGATGATCTTTATAAAGATGAGTGAACGTCAGAGATCAGTCAACGGACATGGCAGCCAGAGACCATGCACTGTGCCCTGGGGTGTGTGTGCCCTAACTGGGGGGGTTCAGGGTGACCCACAATCAGATTCCACTGCATCCCACTGCAGAGGAAGGTACCGACGATACGCAACATCAGGGAAGGGCTTCTTGGACACTTACCCAGAGACTTGACGGTGACAGTCAACCTCTGAGTCCAGCTCCGATCTCTGGCCTGGTTCTGGGAGCGCTCAGACACCCAGCAATCGTATATCCCACTGTCCGTAACGGCGGTGGGGGCGATCTCTAGCTGGAAAGTGGCCCAGTCTATTTTCTCCAGCCTTGTGTTGCCGTGGTTATTGCGTTCCTTGTAGGAGGTGCCTAGCTGCACGGTACCATCCTGATCCATGCCAGCCACCAACTCCGGCTGCATCTGGCTCTGTGGGAAGTGCCACCATTCCACAGAGAGGGGACTTTTGGCTCCGTCTGCCTTGCAGAGAAGGGTTAACGCCTCTCCCTCCCATACTGCTTGCTGCTTGCTCTTGGTAGATAAGGCCACGTTTCTTGCTGTGGATTACCGATTGGAGAGGAAAAAAAGGATCTCAAGTAAATGAGAACGTTTCGAAAACACAGTGACATCTCTTTAATTAGGATTTGACTCGTTTGTGACAAATCAGATCAGGCTGTTTAGTCCTGGACCGCCCTCAGAAAAGAGATTTGCTAAACACTTAGAGTGGGAACAAGCCACCGGAAAGAATATCAGGAGAACTTATTTACGCTTAAACAATTTATAATTTGTCCTTGTTTTTAGTGATTTGTTAAATCAGCCCTTCATTAAGAACATCTAGTTGGGAAAACATCTGGCAATATTTTGTTAGATTAATTAGGGCGGGTGTATGAGCCTAAAAGTCACAAAGCTGTGTTTGTTTAAATTTCTAGTTTTTTGGAATTTTGTTTTTCACAGTTCAAAATGACATTCCTCTCCCTACTTATCATTCCCTAATTAGTTTGTGTTTTGAACAGGGCAGGAGTATTGGTAATTAGATTCCTGTTCAGAATACTGCTATTAGGGGTGCCTGGCTCTCTCGGTCTCTTGATCTCGGGTCACGAGTTCGAGCCCCACATTGGTTGTAGAGTTTATGTTTAAAAAAAAAAAAAAGAACAACAGCAATAAACGAAATACTACCATTAAAAGCAATTACTTGGGGGGGGCGGTATACACATATATAGGTTTCTCTTTTTCAAATCATATATTCATATAGATAAATATATACTATTGGTTTGGTTGAAGGAAGATACTTCTTATAGCTGCACTATAATGTTAAACTGCAAATATGCATTGGGCTCTCGAAATTCAAACCTGCGACATGTCACGTATAAGGCTTTGTCTTGGGTGCTGTGTGGGCAAGGCAAAGACATCCCAGGAGCTCGTGCATCTCAGGCTTAAGGCCAAAGTCCTGGGAGTCAGAATTTATCTTGGGCAACACACCATCCTCCCTGAGCCTTGATTTTCTTTCCTGCAAATACAGAGGCAATAATCGTGCCCTCCTTATTGCATTGTGGGGAGGACTGAGAGTGGTACTTAGGGCTTAGCCTGCTGGAAGGAAAAGTACCCCAGGAAGCAGGAGCTATTAGCCTCAGCTGTAATGATACGAGGCTGTAAGCCTCGCTTAGTGAAAATGGGGCAGTTCAAAGACGAAAGAGAAAAAGCAAAATAGGATTGGGATGAGAAATCTAAATAGGATCTAAATGAATTTGCAAATTGTTCTTCCCTGCTGAGGAAGGAGTTTAGTCTTCTCTTGCTTTATATATATACATATGTGTGTGTGTATATATATGTATATATGTGTGTATACACATATAAATATGTATATGCACATATATGTATATATAAATGTGTATATATGTATATACATGTATGTGTATATGTATATATGTATGTATATATATGTTACAAAGGCAGAATGAAGGTTGATATCCACAAATAAATTTAATATATGTATTTAACATTTTAATATAGTTAATAGTACTATTAAATAATTATTATTTCAATAATAGTATATTATTGAATAGTATATATATATATAATATGCATATGCAAGCCTGCTTCCAAATTTTGGGTATTAGAGGCAGGATTATACTTAGAGTCATTTTCAAGCTAAAAATAGACTCATAACTGAAGTTTAGAAAGTAAAGAGGAAATTATTACTCATAATCTCACTACTCTCCCACAACCATTATGATTAGTTTCAACTAACATCAATTTTTTTTTATGAAAAGATGAGGTGTCCTTAGCTTATTACAGTCATTGCTGCCTCTTGGTAAGAAGTAATAAACTTATCAAGTGTGTGCAAGTTACAGAGTCACAGTGGTAGCAAGTACCCCTTCTGTTTAAAATATTCATAGAATAAGACTCTGCTCACACTTGGGTTTGATTTTCAAAACTGCTCAATGGGACCCTTAATACATTCGCTGACAATTCTTTTCTGTTGCTGTGTATTAGGCACCGTTTGGATTCCAGCCTCTGCAAAGCACTGTTTTTAGCTCTGGAAGACCACCCTACTGATGGGCTTATGATCTGGGCACCCCGTGGCACAAATTCCCACACGCGGAATTGAAGACAGGTTTACAGTCATGTTTTGGCAGAACTGAGATGCATGAAACAGAGACCCATCTCTGTGTCAATATGTAAACCCGCCCACATAGTTTTCCCTGAATCCTAGAAAGTTAGACCAAATGTTTAGCATGAAAACTAACACCTACACGTTTCCTGGCTTGCCACTCTAGGCCAAAGCTTGTGATCTTCATCGTGAGCAAATGGGGTGACAGTGAAGAGCATGAAAGGGAAACATATCTATCTCTGGAGATGCCTCCGATGAGCCAGTGAAACAAGGTGTCTCTGTTTTTTGTTGGGTTTTGTTTCGTGCTCTTGGGAAATTGGTCTTTCTAGACTTGGACTATAACACCCAGCCCAGAGCATCCTAATATTACTTGTAGATCTGTCTGTTTTCTCTTTGCACAAAAAGCACCAATGGCTCCAACAGGTTTCGGGTCCCCCGACCTTCCTCAACTAAACAAGAACTAAGAGGCCTTCCACTTTGATGCCTACAGGTGCTCAGACCGGTTTGGATGGGCACATCACCTTACAGCAAAATGCAGGAAACGGCATCTGCCTGCTATCATTTACCTCTTCATTTCTTATTCTGAGTCATGCTCTGATGCAGAATTAAGACAGACTGTCATTCTCGGTATCAGGTTAAGATAACAGAGGACTGACCAAAGGCACCTGAAAGATGTTCAGGCGGTGGGGGGAAAATGTACCTGTTTATTCCCCAGGAAGGACGCAAAGGGTCATATTTTTCCTTCTCTCTCTCTCTCTCTCTCTCTCTTTCACACACACACACACACACACATACACACACACACACACCCCAAAAGAAGACAGAGAGTTTCATTAATATAGACATTCTCTGCTTGCAGAAAAGCCCAAGGTACCAACATTAGGACTAATAGCAAACAGAATTAAAGAATCTAAGACAGCAAGAAGGGACTTCCAGACAATCTACCCGTGTGCCATTATTTTCTACGTGAGGAAGTGGAGATTTCGAGAAGTCAAGCGCTGTGTCTGTGGTCACAGCCCATTTAATGGCCCAGGAGTAAGACCTAGGTCTTCAGCTAGTTTGGTTGCCTTTCTTTCACTCCACCTCAAAGTGATCTGACTGACACACCCAAATAGCAGAAGTCCACAGCGTCCGTGGAGTCATCCTGACCTCACAAAGGAGGGACACCGAGGGCAGCCCCGTCACGTGTGGCCCTGATTTCACGTACCTGCTGGGTTCCTCAGATGCACACAGCTGTCTGGTGACTGCTTTCTCTGAAGCACGTGCCAGGAGCCCGTCTGAGTTCTCACCACCTCCTCCACGGCACAGCTGTAGGTGCCTTCATCCTCGGGGCCCACAGAGAAGATCTTGAGACAGAAAGCCTTGGGGTTTAACTTTGAGACCTGGAGCTGTCCTTGACTGGCTCTCTCTCTGTAGTCTCTCTTCAGGTCCAGAACACCACGGGCATCGATGTGGGCCACCTCGTTACCATTGAAGAGCCAAACACCCTGAAGCTGTGGGTCCCGGCCACTGCCTACTACCAGGCAGACCAGTTCTAAGGGGTTCCCTGGGGTAACCATGCTCTGGGCGGTAATGTTGACTTGAAAATCTAGCACTAGGAAACAAAAGCAAAGCAGATATTTAGAGAAGCCACAGCATCTGTCCTTTCAATAGTAGAGAGCGATGATACCTCCTGTAAGGATAGCACAAGGATTGAATTACATGTGGGAGTTTAGCTCAGAGTAGCAGGTCAGCCAAAGAAATGCCTAGAATCAAAAGTTCCCTGGACTATCCCTTAAATCATTCGGAAAGAATAGCATATGTAGCTTTCTGAATGTAATCTTATTCGGCAAAACGTATGCATAGAAGTATAATGTATACAGTAACGTATCCTTTTTTAAATAAAAAACATAAAATATCTTATGGTATGTTGAATTCCTTTTTGCCTTTTTTTTTTTTTTTTTTTTGGCTGACATTATCCAGTGGAATTTTCCTAAGTTAAAGCACATATAATGTATGACTAGTCCACAGTTAACATAATTCCTAACGATGAAAAGCTGAAAGTTTTCCCTCCAAGACTGGGAAAAGGCAAAGATGCCCACTCTCACCACTTCTATCCAACAGAGTACTGGAAGCCTTAGCCAGAGAAATTAGGAAAAAAAAATAAAGGAAAAATGAAGTAAAAAAAATGAAGTAAAATCATGTTTGCAGATGACGTGGTCTTATATATAGAAACCCCAAAAGACTCCACCCAAAAACTGGTAAAACTGGTGATTTCAGTAAAGTTGTAGGATATAAAATCAACATACAAAAAAAACCAATCAGTTGCACTTCTTTGCACTAACCACAAAGTACAGCGAAACCTTGGATCCCAAGTAACTTGTTCTGTGGCTGTTCCGCAAGATGAGCAAATGTTACTAATACATTTTAACTTGATAAACAAGCGATGCCATGCAATACGGGTAGGATGTGACATCGAACATCACATGATCACAAATGGGCCAATGGTTCCCACACACACACACGCTGTGGGATTATGGGTGATCGCCTCCCATGCTCAGATGTTTGGTCTCACGCCGTAGTGTTTGGCAGAAATCGGTGATTTTTCAGAACGTTGGAAAGTGCCCATAACTGGCCCTAGTGTATTTTTTGTCACTTCAAAGCATCTATGGACAGTCCTTTGCTTTTCCAGACAAGAGTGAGCTTAGGAATGCTTTGCTTCATGCTAGGTCAGGCTGCCTTCAGATGGAGACCCTTTCCTCTGCTGCCTTAGTGCCAGTGACATTAAACACAGTGTATGACAAGAGTTTATTAATCTGTATTCTAGTCGACATCTGTTAGTGATAGTGAAAGTTGTCCTTCACAATAACCCTCCTCTCTCGTCTCTCTTACACCAGCCCTGAAGATTTTCAAAGGTAAGTGCAGGTTAGCTTATTTATTTTTCTTTACATTTTGTGTTTCTTTATTATTTTATATTAATTATAGTATCGTAGTCATTTTTATGTGAATATTTTTGGGTTGTGGAACGGATCATCTGAGTTTCCATTATTTTTTATGAGGAAATTTGCTTTGATATACAAGCATTTGATATACAAGCTTTGGATTACCAGCATGTTTCTGGAATGATTTATGCTCAAAAACCAAGGTTTTACTGTATTGGAAAAAGACATTAAGAAAACAATCTCTACAGATGGACAATAGACACATAAAAGATATTCAAAATCACTCATCACCAGGGAAGTTAAAATCCAAAGCACCATGAGATATTAGTTCATCCCTGTTGGAATGGCTATTATCAAAGGGCCAAGAAATAATGTGTTGGAGAAGATGTGGTGACTTCTTTCACATTGGTGTTAGGAATATAAATCGGTGCAGCCAATACTGAAAACAGATTTCTCAAAAAATTAAAACTAGAATTACCTCAGGATCCAGGTATTCCACTTCTGGGTATTTATTTAAAGAATACAAAAATGCCAAGAATATGTATGTAGTCTATGTTCACTGCAGCTTTATTAATAGTCAAGATATGGAAACAACCTAAGTGTCCATCAACAGATGAGTGGATAAAGAAATCTGGTACACACACACTCACACACTCACACACACACACACACACACACACACACACACACACAGAGGAATACTACTTAATCATAAAAAAGAAGGAAATCTTGCCCTTCCCAACAACATGGATGGACCCTGAGGGTATTATTCTAAGTGAAATAAATCAGGCAGAGAAAGACAAATACCATATGATTTCACTTACGTGGACTCTAAAATCCAAAACAAATGAACAAACAAAACAAAAATGAGCTCACACTACAGAGAAGAGATCTGTGGCTGCCAGAGAGGAAGGGATTGGGGAGGGGGCAAAATGAGTGAAGGGGCTCAATTGTATGGTGACGGATTATAACTAGACTTACGGTGGTGAATCCTTGTAGTGTAAACAAACATTGAATTCTGATTTGCACACCTGCAACTTACATAATGTTATACACTAATTTTATCTCAATTAAAAAAAATTATTTTGCAATAGTGTCAAAAAGAAGAAAATACTTAGGAATAAATTTAGCTAAGGAGGTGAAAGACATGCACTGAACACTATAAAATATGGATAAAAGAAATTAAAGAAGACGCAAATAAATGGAGAGATATCTCGTGATCATGGGTTGGAGGAATTAATAACAAGTATTGGTGAGGATGTGGAGACAAAGAAATGTAGCACTGGTGGGAATATAACATTATGGAAACGGTGTGGAGGTGCCTCAAAAATTAAAAATAGAACTACCGTATAATTCAGCGATCCCACTTCTGGGTAAGATATCCAAAGGAAATGAAATCAGTATCTCAAAGAGAGATCTGCATTCCCGTGTTTATGATTCATGATAACAAAGATATGGAGTCAACCTAAGTGCCCAATGATGGACACATGAATGAAGAAAATGTGGTACAGATACACACTGAAATATGCAGCCATGAGAGAAAAGGAAGTCCTGTCATTTTCAACAACGTGCATCACCCTGGAGGACACTGGGGCCAGAGAGAAGGATAAATACAGGAACTCACTACTATGTGGCATCTAATACTGCTAAACTCATAAAAGCAGAGACTAGAATGGTGGTTGCCAGGATCTGGGGGAGGGGATGGAAGAGGGAGATTTTGATCAAAGCGACAAAGTTTCCATTATGCAGGCTAAGTTCTATAGATCGAATGTATAGCATTGTGTCTACAGTAGTAACGCGGTGTTGCATACTTGGAATTTGCTGAGAGCAAAGATCTTAAGTGTTCTCCCCGTACACATGTGCACACACCCCCCAACACACAGGCTACACACAAAAAGTAACTATGTGAGATGATGGATATGTTAATTAGCTTGACTGTGGCCATTGTTTCAAAATGCATGTCTATCAAAACATCATGCACATCTTGGATGTATTCGATGTTTGTCAACATAAAGACTGTTTTATATAAAAAATTGTTCTTAAAGAGAGAGAAATGACACCCCCATAATGTGCCCCCATAGAACTCAGTGAGTGTAACTTGGACACTTAAGGTCAACAGGACAATTTTTTTAATAAAATAGAATAACACTTTGCCTAAAAAGAGAAGAAACTTCCAATGATCCGCCAGTGGATCCCTGCTTTCACAACCTCTTCTTATTGGACCGTAGCCCATGTAGAGAAACCAGGAATCACAGCTGAGGCTTCCTGCTTGCTTTGATGAGAATGCCAATGGATCATGAAGAGGAATGCCATCCCATGTAGGAAATGGGGTTCAGTGGAAGGAAAGCCTGGCCAGGACTGAGATAAGCCTCCATATTGGAGACCGAGGCTACTCTGGGGCCTGGGTGTGTGTGATGTGGGAGCACAACTCCACTTACCAGTAGTTAGCCTGTTTGAGGTTCAGCATTCTTGTTTTAAAAATAGGGAGTGGCCTACTTGCCCCAGGGGGTAAGGACTAAGTTAAAGTGTAGATAAAGTGCTTACACAGAGCTTGGCAAGAATGGTAACAGAACCATTTCCGTGCACGATTTGTGGAATCTAACCATTCGACAGATCTTACCCCATAGAAAACCTGCTGTGGATTGACCCCAAACCAAATGTCCTTCTTCTTATTTATGCTTCCCAGATGCCCCAAATTTTATTCAAACTTTCTAAATTTTTTTTAGATACAACAAGAGATTCGAAAAATGACAAAAAGATGTCCCATAAATACCCGCCACCAACATATTAATGAATTTCCTGAGAAGATCATTACCTGACGCTTGGATCCTCAGAGTTGTTCGATCCGTCTGCTTTCTCGTAATTAAAGTCCAGGTTTCGTCTGGGTCCTGAATCCATTCGGTTGCCTCGCAGAACAGCTGGCCTTGATCCGAGGGCTGGAGGCTCCTTATGGCCAACCGGAAGGTAGCGACACCGAGTTTGTGGAGCTGTACCTCACCAGCTGCAAACCTCTTGGTAAAAGAGGGCCCAGGGATCAATGTAAAATCTTTGGAGAGGGAGATAATCTCAGTAGCTTGCCTTCCTTCTCCATCTTGGGTCAGGTACCAGGTGACAGAGAGGTGGGTATGCTGAGCTGTCGCTTTGGATGCTTCACAGGTAAGTTCTAATGCTTCACCTTCCTTCTTACTGAGAGTCTGGGGACTCATAGTGGCAGACAGGGTATCTGGAATAACTGGAAAGAAAGGAATGATGACAACTGACTGGCCCAGGAGCCCATCAGACAAGCCTCCTTAGATGAAGATGGCGCCCTGACCCACCATCTGTAAAGCACACACTTTGAGTTGTTTTCCACCAGCCATATGCTTTCCCTATTGCCAAGGGGAACATTGGCATCTGTATACATAGTCTATGGAACTTGGCAAAATTAATGGCTCGGTAATGTATTGACCCTGACTTTACATTTTTAGCGTAGGCTGTGACCAATTTAGCTACTCAGACACGGAGTGTTTAAAAGGGAAGAGCGCTGGGAGCTAGGAGACCTACATTCTCATCCTAAATCTGTCCCTATTTGGCGACAGGAATTGGAGCAAGCCGCTTCACTTCTTTACGCCTTACTTAACCTGCTTCTTTGTAAAGTTCTGAAACGATCTCTTATAATCTATCCCCCGGAGCCAAAATGCAACCTTACCACAGTGTGGATAACCATCTTACTCACCTATCACTGTGTTCTTCCTCAAGGGAAATCACACAGCCTACGCTTATGTGAAAGTAACACTTAGATTCAGTCAACAAAGACTGAATGAGCAACTACCCGGTGCCAGTCACTGTGCTGGGGGCCGAGATAGCTGTGGTCATGGAGTTCAGGGTGAGGTAGGGCTCATACAAGGAGCCAAATACCACAAAACATGGGTGAATGTTAACAACAGTGATGTGAATAGAGCATCAGGAGGGAACAAAGATGGGGGTACTCCCTGAGACAGGACAGATTTCACAGAAGAGCGAATACCTCAGCTGGGTCCACAAGTATATGTAGGAGTTGGCTGGACCGAAAGAGGGACGCTAAGATATTCCAGGCAAAGGGGCAAAGCGGTCATTGCAAGGACCATGAACCTCTCTTTATACGTAAACATGCAAGAGGAGAGTACTTTGGGAATCATGATTTCCAAGTTGATGACTTACCACCGATCATGTTAACAGCAGCTCTCTTACCAAGTTAATGCTCTGTCTCCAAGGAGAGACAGGGCCTGGGGAGATCCCTCACTGCTCTGTCTGATCAGCCTAGCTGTGGACAAGGCCTTCGGAGACTAGACACTATCTCAATCTTCATGGCAAGGTTGACTGGAGAGATGAATTGAGGGTTTTAGAGAACACGGGATGTTGCTCTTGACTAATCTGCAACATGTCCAGAGGGCCATGAGGGCCCTCTTACCAAAGGGCTTGACCCAACGTGAAGCCACGTAACACTGCAAGGCATCGTGATGGTGGGGGTCTGGCTTCTCGGGGGGACCGCCAGGCCCAGGAGGGCGAAGAGCTTACCAATGAGTCTAGTCTTCGCGCTGTAACTGCCGTAGTATTTTTTATCAGTGTTCGGTGTGTGACACTCGTACTCGCCAGAATCCTTCAGCTGGACCTTTGCGATGTGCAACAGGACTGAGTTGCCTCGGATCCTCTCCACGTAGATTCCCCCGCTTCGTACCTGCTGCGCGTACAGCGCGTAAGTGAAGGTGGCATCCAAGGTGCTGATGATCTGGATTTCCTGGGTCGGGGCTGTCGGCAGGTAAACGGACCACTGGAAATGTTGCTTTGAAGGTCCCTGGTGGCCGATCACATTGCAGGCAATGCTGACAGAGTAGCCTTCAGCCCGAAACAACGGTCCTTTCTGGACAGTTACTTCTCTCTGGCCAATGCTGAGCTTAGCTTGCAAGGAGGAGGAGGAAAGGAGAATAAAAATAGATCAGTGCTCTGGTCCCCCGTGTGCCACCTTATGCAGCTCCCTGTATTAAAGTTCTAGTAAATGAGATCGCAGGTTATTAGCTATAATCAACTCTGTTCAACACCTCCTTCAGGCTGATAGCAGGGGAAGGGCTGGATGAGTTCATTTTGGTTTTTTTTATAACTTTAACTTCCAGAGTAATTCCAAGTCTCTTAAAAAAGGCGGGGGGGGGGCAGGTCGGGGCACCTGGGTGCCTCAGTCGGTTAAGCATCAGACTTTGGCTCAGGTCATGATCTCACAGGTTGTGGGTTCGAGCCCCGCGTTGGGCTCTGTGCTGACAGCTCAGAGCCTGGAGCCTGCTTCAGATTCTGTCTCCCTCTCTCTGACCCCCCCCTGCTCACGCTCTCTCTCTCTCTCTCAGAAATAAATTAAAAACATTTAAAAAAAAAGGGGGGGGGTCAGCATCACCCATGTTATAACTGGTAATGCCTGGTGTCCAGCATTATCCAAGGCTTTTTGGAAAGCAAATACGATGCATGATAATTCACCTTTTACATTCTTTTATGGGAAGATTCAGCCAATACTTCCTCCAGACTTTAATTCCTGGGTGCCTGTCAGGCTGTGATCACAGCCACTGCTGGAGAGACAGAGTTGAGGGCACCGCCCACACTCCCCTCGGTGCCCAGCTTGCTTTGTCTTGCTATTTGGTTAGAACTATTTGTAGCTCATGGACAGGTCTAATGCAGGACTAGCTAAAATTAGCATCTGAAGAGGCAGCAGCACTTCCTTTCTATACGGTGGAGGGTATTTTTGTTTTGTTTTGGCCGCTGCAGACTTTTTTTTTTAATGTTTATTTTTTGAGAAAGAGAGAGAGTGAGAGCGAGAGAGAAATTGAGTGCAAGGAGGGGAAGGGCAGAGAGAGGGAGACGCAGATCTGAAGCAGGCTCCAGGCTCTGAGCTATCAGCACAGAGCCCAATGCAGGGCTTGAACCTACAAAACATGAGATCGTGAGATTGCGGCCTGAGCCAAAGTTGGACGCTCAACTGACTGAGTTCCCCAGGGGCCCTCACTGCAGCCTTATTGCAAAGCTTCATAAAAGATGGCCCATCCAGTCCACCAGGATCTGGGATCAAATTCACGTCAGTTCTCTTCCGAGAAGTTTTCAGTTGGGACTACTAAGGAATGCTTACTGTCGAAACGCATCTCAAGCATTCGGTCTAAACTACAAAATATTATCAAATGGCAGCATTTTCTTTGACATGCACATTTTCAAAATCCAGATGTGGCAGAAATTAAAATGTATGGGTTTATGGAGCGTGTTAATATTAAAGGTTAGTCTGTGTTACACAAAGAACGAAGAGCTAAAGACAGAGGTGCCAAAGGGTGAGCTCGATCTTTTCCTGGAGCCCAGCGGAAGGGAAGATGAGGGGGGAAAGATGTCAGAGGAGTCTAATGGGCAGCAATTGCTGGGATTGTGGAATGAACAGAATCAAGTTCGTAGGAAGGTAGGGAAGAAGCAGAGCATCTGCTGAAGTTTGCAAATATACAGGCAATAAAGGAAACTGGAGTGAAAGAAAGAGAGGGAAAATGGCCCTACAGAAACCAATGGAAGACTGAGAATAGGAATTCTGGAATGGAAACAACTCTGACAGAAAGGGACCTATGAAAAACAGGGAGAAAGGGCAAGTGGTCATCTGATGTAGTCCACTAAAAATCACAGACTGACTGCTTACTGCAAAACTGGAAAACAGAAGGGCCTCCAACCAACCACACACATTTCCCTACTAATTAAAATACACCAATTTATTCATAAATCCCAGTTAATGTGGTATATTTATATTATGCTCTTTTTCTAATAGATAATGAGGAATGGAAGTTAGAACATAAATACAGGAAAAATAGAACTTACTACTTACTAAAATGTGACTCAACAGAGACCATCGGAAGCATTTTTGGCAATGTCAGCCGGACTTGGGCAAATATCTTAGAGAAATGTGTGCCCCGTGCACTAGGCTACCTGTGTAAGAGTACTCACAGCAGCACTGTTCCTTTTGGCCCCAATCCTGACACCACCCACATGGGCTTCAATGGTAGAATGACAAACTGTGGTACATCCATAAAATGGAATATTACACAGAAGTGAAAGTGGATGGATTGTGACTGGTTGTAACATGGATGACTGTGTTTAATGAACAATGCCAATACTTGAGAATCTGACTATCTACAGAGAGATTTCAGTCTTTATAAACGTTGACAAACAGGCAAAACCACACTATCACGTTTAACAAATGGAAAAATAATGCATAAAGCCACTTAGAAAGGAAGAAAAGCTGGGAAGGGGTTGTCACGAAGTCAGGACAGTGATGGTGTGTGCGAGGGGTTATAACCTGGATGAGGGCTTCTAGCAATGTTGTATTTCATGACCTGGATAGCAATGATGTGGGTTTTACCCTTTACTTATTTGTTAATCTGCATGTTTATGTTTTGTTAACTTTTCTTATGTGTTAGAGTTCCACAATAAAAATAGTTTTAGAAGGACGGTTTCTGGGGTGCTTGGATGGTTCAGTGATTTGGGCGTCCGGCCCTATATTTCGGCTCAGGTCATAATGTAGATGTCATGGGGTTGAGCCCTGTGTTGGGCTCTGTGCTGAGTGTGAAGCCTGCTTGGGATTCTCTCTCTCGCCCTCTGCCCCTCCCCTTCTCGTTCCCTCTCTCAAAAAAAGAATGTTTTTAGAAGTATGGTTTCTGAGTTACCGCTAACCTGTTTCTAACACAGCATGTGACCACAATATTATTTTGGTGGCTAGGCAACCCTTTCTCAACATTTTCCAGGACTTTTCAGAGACGGATGCCACATCTGAGATATTTTATTGCAAAAATGAGCACTCAGCTTTCTATTGCTTTCTTTGCCAATCCAATAAATATTTGTTCAACAACAGATAGTGTTCCTGATACTTCAGGAACTAAGAAATGAAGATGAGATTGGGATAGTCTTTTAATTTGTGACTTTATAAGTCAGGTAGGATGGTGGTCATCTCTCTGTGACAGGGAGATGATAAAACTGTTCTGAGGAACAGTTGAAGGAAGGAGAGAAGTAGGGAAGGTTTATGGAAGAGAGATAGTATGAGAACTGGAATTTGGAGAATCGGCAAGATTAGGATAATTTAGGAGGGAGACTCCATGACAAAATTGTATGAGTAGGAATCAGAAGATCTGTTTAGGAATTAGGGAGTGATAAACTGGATTAGGGGAAGGGTTACACGAAGACTAATAGAAGGAGGTAAGGCTGGATAGGAATTGGGGGCCCAAAGCATGAAAGGCTTGCCTATCATGTCTAGAAGTTTGAACTTGACTGATTAGGTGCTGGGAATCCACTGGAAGTGTTGGAAAGGTCTTAGGAAAATTAGTCTGACAGCTGTGGTGGGATGAGGGAAGTTAGAAATAAACATTAGGAAATTATGGTAGCCCGGGAGAGAAGTAATGACAGCAAATGGAAAGAAAGGGACTATAATTTAGAAGCCACTGTGGAGATAAAATCCAGAGAGGTTTTTAGCATCTTGGATGCTTGGAGGTAGAAGGGGTGGATGGAGATGAAAGGCAGTAAGAAATAAAAAATGATGGCAGGCTTTGTGAGGCTGAGAGAATAATGGTCCTGCTAATAGAAATAAGGGTATTAAGGGTATCAGGAAGAGACTGTTGTGTGTTCAAGGCTGAGGGAGAAGATAATGCCTTTAATTTTGAAAATAATAAATTTGAACACCATAAAGTAAAAGGAAGGATATCCAGCAAGCATTTGGAAATAATAATTAAATATATATTTGTACATTATTATTATTATTATTATTTTAGAGAGAGAGAGCGTGCAAGGGGGGAAGAGGGGCAGAGGAAGAGAGAATCCTAAGCAGGCTGTATGCTCAGCACACAGCCTGATTCAGGGCTTGATTCCACGACCCTGGGATCATGACCTGAGCTGAAATCAAGAATCAGAGGCTTGGGGTGCCTTGGTTAAGTGTCCAACCCTTGATTTTGGCTCAGGTCATGATCTCACGGTCTTGGGACTGAGCCCACGTCAGGCTCCATGTCGACAGTGCAGAGCCTGCTTGGGATTTCTCCTGCCCTATCTCTCCCCCTTCTCTCTCTCTCTCTCTCTCTCTCTCTCAAGATAAATAAGCTTAGAAAAAAAGAGTCAGAGATTCAACTGACCAAGCCACCCAGGCACCCCTGTATATTGGTATTTAAAGTCTACCCAACTCTTTGAAAATACTGGTAATTTAATCCTTTCAAGAACTCTGCGATATCCCATTTAGCAATGTCAAGCTCGTGAATGGTTGAACCCGGACGCAAGCCTAGATTTGCAAATGGCAAAGCCCTGGCTGTCTCCATTGCTTCTCGCTGCTTCTTGTGAATGTCTGTGCATAACCACTGAGGGTTATGGGCCACAGTGCAGATTAGGTGGGTGACAGCGCTGGGCAGTGATAGGGAATCCCAGGAGGCTGAAGAGAGATTACTAGAGGGTGTCTCTAGCTAAGGGATAAGATGAGGAACACAGCCACAGAAGGAAGAGTCAGCCGGGGGGGGGGGGGGGGGGGGGGGGGGGGGGATGGGAGAGCAGCCAGGACATGGTAGCTTGGAAACCAAAGAAAAACATTACAGGAAAGAGCTTGTCTGCTCCTTGAACACTGCTGGGAGGGGAAGGCCCCTATAGGCAGGGGGCAGTCCTTTTAGTTTGATGGGGAAGATATCAGTGGAAATCTTTATAAAAGTGGTTTCAACAGAGCAGAAGCAGAGGATTTCAAGGGTACGAAAGGACTGCAGGAGGGGGAAGCAGAAGAATAGGGTGGCAGCTGGAAAGAGTAGCTGCGAGCGGAGGAGCAGGGAGGGATGGCTGGACAGTGTTAAGGGCAGAGGAGCTGCGGGGGTGGGGGGACGGATGACGCCAGAGAGGGTGACGAGTGGAGGAGGGTCCTCGTAGAGGCATGAGGTCAAGAACGTGAGAGGGAAGGTACTGCTTTCTCAGAAGTGAAGCGACGGTGTGGAAGTTCCATGGGTATTTTTTATGTGGAAAGGAATGGGTGACAGAGGTCAGGAAAAGAGTGGTTGACAGAGATCAGGAAAGGAATGGTCGACAGAGGTCAACTCGAATGGCTGCGTGTTGGGGCGATGTGCTGAAGCATCTTCTAGCATCTTCTGTAGAGCTATTCTCTGGGGGATGTGTTGTTCATCTCTCTCCTTCTCCTAAGGGGTAAACTACTTCAGAGGACTGTTCCGTTGCTTTCTCTCCTAATCAGAGGGTTAGAAATCTCTTCATGGCAGCTCAGACTCTCATTGCCTCCATGGGCACACATCTGGGCTCTGACATACTCCCCCGGGGCCACACTTTTGAACCACAAAGGATTCTCCAATACTGGCTTTCTTTGAAAATATCCCGATGACTGCCAAATTTACCACTACAGTATTACTGAAATGGAAGCTGTCAGGTTGACTCATATAAAATGGCCCATAACTGACCATTTTGGATACACGAAACCAGCCACTTCAAGTGGTTCCACTTCACACAAAACCTACCAGGAGGATGTCAAGTACCTCAGGCAACTCTTGCTTTCTTTACACATATAAAACCCTACACGCTTGGAGGCTGAGAGAACTTCCAACCAAAAAGTTTTTCCTCTGCACACAGTCTTGGTAGGATAAAAAAAAAAAAATTGGCCTCTCCACACACCTTAGTGGTTTTTATATGTAGGGCCATTGGTGAGGGGGGGGGGTGTGGATCAGGCAGCAAAGCTGCGCCCAAGAGCTCATTTACCCATGACATTCACCTTCTCTAGTACCACGTTCTGACAGAACTGATGGGTCTTTATGCTGATTAAAAAAATTAACTTGAACAAAGTATACATTTGCTAAACAAGGAAACTGGTCAGTTGATCAGCATTGAATTTCCTTCATGATTCACCATTTTCCCTCCACACGTGTAAGGACAAAGAGCAGGCTTCCAAAGTTCTTTCGAGTTACTTCCTGATTTATGTGTTCTCACATAAAAACTGCGGTTCGGTACAAAATTAGTGCTGTAGAGTGAGTCTGAATTTAGAAGAAAAAATACAGGGGTGCCTGGGTGGCTCTGTTGGTTAAGGGTCATGATCTCACACTTAGGGAGCTTGAACCCTGCATCTGGGTCCCTGTATTTGAGTCCTCTGTCTCCCTCTCTCTCTGCCTCTTCCTCACTCTCTCTCTCAAAAATAATAAAATAAATGTTAGAATTAACGAAGGAGTTGGGGCGCCTGGGTGGCTCAGTCGGTTGAGCGTCTGACTTCAGCTCAGGTCATGATCTCATGGTTCTTGAGTTCAAGCCTCGCTTTGGGCTCTATGCTGACAGCTCAGAGCCTGGAGCCTGTTTTGGATTCTGTGTCTCCCTCTCTCTCTGCCCCTCCCCTGCTTGTGTTCTGTCTCTTTCTCTCTCAAAAAAAAAAAAAAAAAATTAAAAAAAGTTTTTTAATTAAAAAATAAATAAAAAGAGATAGTAAACATATATATCATATATATTTATAACTGTTTATGTGAGTTAAGGAGATGCTTCTCCTTTTTGAACTTGCTTACTACCTGCCTTCACCCAGGACTTCCAGCCTGCTCACCAGAAAAAAAAAAAAAAGCGTGTGAAAGAGAGTCGCAACGTCTGACTTGTTGCACAATGTACACTCTGTTTTCCCCGATACACAAGCCAAACACACAGACCAAATACACAAAGCACATCCACTTAAGAATCACACTCAGGAAAAAAAAAAAAAAAAACCCACCAAGAATCATACTGACCAGGGCACATAGGAATGTACCAGCAGCAAAGGTCCCATCCATCTCCCCACCATCAATGCTTCCCACGCCAGTCTGCTGGGTGCCCATCCCCCGGCAACCCACTGGTCCTTGTGACTCACTCATCCTCCAGGCCACCGGTCTCCCATCAGGCCCCAGATCGGAGCCTTACCTTACACAATCCAACATCCGCTGAGACATGAGCCCGGTTCAATTCCAGCCAGCGTTCAAGAAGCACCCATCGTGCTGAATGCTCTAGCCTCTCCCTGCTTCAGTCACGGCACTGGCCGCACTGATTCGAGGTGCAAGGAGTTCCCCTACTGTCACTCGAGTCACTAACAGTCTAGTCTCTACAGCAGGACTTACTAACCTGGGTCCACACACAGAGTCACAGGGTCCACAGATTCTAGTGAAACCAACCAGCCAGCCCTACATCTTTATCTACATGAGTCTTATGAGAATTCAGCATTTCCTTTGGTCATGAATGTAGACAGCAGACCATAGATATTTCCGCATCACATTACAGTTACTGCAGATATCTTGAGATATGATTCATACTCATTACTACTCTGAAATTCGGTGGTTAGCAGACCACCTCTCGATCCTGTTAGGGAATCCAGAAAGAAGCAAATACATCACTATGTCACTCTTTAAAGATGACTGCATTTCAAGATGGCTGATTTCCCCCATAATCCTTTGCATTTCATTTTAGTTATTTAAAAAATGATGCGAAGGTGGGGTCTCTAGGCTTCACCGAGTGCTAAAGGTACCTGCCGCTGGCTCTGAAATGATTTCATTCCCAACCCAGGCCACAGTTCTCCAGTCCGCCTCCACATGTCCCCTCCCTCCACCCCGTTCTATGTTTAAATGCTCCAGGGCCAGCTAAGGCCCCTCCCTATGCCCTTTAGCAGAGTCCAGTGAATCTTCTTGGCCCCTTCTTGGTCCCTTCTCAGTCCCACAGGTGACATCCAGAACCTTCTTTTAGTGTAACCTAAAACTACTAAGTGCTCCAATACCTTTTCCTTCCATCCAGCTGCATCCCCAAGGCACACACATCTGACAAACCTTAAGGTCACCTCTCAGTCTGAGGAGCTGGGCCCTCACTCTCTCCAGGATGGGTCATCCAGGAAGATAAGGTAAAGGAAGGACCAGCAAAATGGCAAATCTGGCCACACAGACAAATGTGAAGAACAGCAGGACCAGGTCCACGGGACTCAACCAAGCACTGCGCCTCCCTGGAACTCGAGGACGCCGAGGTAAACCAAGAACCTGTTATCAGTCATCAAAAGCTACTGCCTACGCCAGAGGTGCGTGGCACAGTTTTTCCTGTAAGTACCAAAGTGTCCTGCTCCCCACCCGCCAGCCTCCTGTTGACTAGCTCCTGTGAAAACAGAGACATGCACAATGATGACACTTACTCAGAAGGAGAAAGAGAGATGCCACGTGTAGGATGTGTGCCATTTGGGCCAGTATAGACTTCTCCTGGCGGTGTCACTGAAGTTGCTCAGACACCCAGTGACAAATGCTGCACTCTCACTACAAAAGTAAAGAGGAAGCAATAGCGTGGTTTCCAGCCCACTGAGAAAGACAGACTGTGTGCAAAGAGCAAAACCGTTTGCATCATACAGTGCTTTGCTAATCACGCGAATTCAGCTGAGAAAAGTTACGGAAAAGCTATGGGGGCCAATCCAGGTACACAGAGAAAAATAAGAAAATGTGAGCCCCATCCTGGCTAGCTGTGTACCATTAAGTCATAAGAGAATACAGATAAACTGACTAAATGAAAAATCAAGCTGAAATGTTCTCTTCTTAGCCCTTACCTATCCTTCCAATCTCGGGAGAGGAAAGGGCTGAGAAATGCAAGAGGAGCCCCCCGAAGACGTGGTGGTAATGTCAACAGTCAGTCTCTGGCACCAGGCTGCCTGGGTTTGCACGCAGATTCTATTTTTAATAGTTGAGTGTGCCCATTAACTTTTCTAACGCTCATCTATAAAATGGAGGCACTAATAGTATGCACCCCATCAGACTGCTGTGTGAGTTGAATGAATGAATTCACCTAAAGCACCTAGAGCAGCATCTCGTACTTGGTAAATGCTCAGTAAAATCAGCTACCATCATGTGACATGTAAGTGAATTTTCATCCGGCCAATACAGACCTGGAACCAAGGATGGCAAATGAATGCCTAAATATTAACAGTTGGCAGTGAAGCCAACTCAATCCTAGAGGACAAGGCCATCCAAAGATGGGTTCACTGAAGACATTCGTTCCCTAGGTCAAGGCAACATCTAGAAGGGTCAGTAATAAACTGGTCTGCTTCAGGCCACGGTTTCAGGCAGATTTCTGCTCTATCCACCCACTCCACAACTTGTTTAGTACTACTGTGTTCTGGGTGCTTTGCTAAATTCTGCACAAAGATGTTGACAACCCGGCCTTTGTTCTCGGGAAGCTTCCACTTAATCAGATCATCACAATGCACTGTTTTCAAGCACAGCAGTCAATGCAGCCCCTGAAAGGAGCAGGAAAGGTCAGTGGGCCGGAAGGAAGGTCAGGCTGGGTGGGGCTGGGCCAAACAAGGCAGCTAGGGGTGAAGAGAAGTCAGGTATAACTGGGAGAGAAGCAGTCTAGGGTGGATACTAATGCACCAGCCACTCCCTCCTGCTGGAGGAAAGTCTGATCTTATTGGGCCATGCAAGGCAGGCCCAAGACCTTGGTCTTCGACCCATAGAAATGATGAACAAGTGAGGCATTTTTTTTTCCTTTAGGAGGAGAATGGCCTGGCTGCATTTTCCTTTTAATGTTTATTTTTGAGAGAGACAGAGAGAGAGCATGAGTGGGGGAGGGGCAGAGAGAAAGGGAGAGAGAGGATCCAAAGCAGGCTCCTCACTGCCAATGCAGGGCTTGAACTCACGAGTCATGAGATCATGGCCTGAGCCAAAACCGAGAGTTGGACGCTTAACTCACTGAACACCCAGGCATCCCGGATTTTCCTTTTAAATTGAATCCCATGTTATGTATTGTTAACTGGTGGAAAGACGAGGGAGGGAGGCAAGGCTAGGAACAAGAAGGCCAGTTACAAGATTTTCGTAGTTTTCTGCCTAAGTAATGAGGAGGTCCAGAACCAGGGCATTTACAATATTGAGGACATTTAGGTCTTTCATCCATTTTATTTTTGTGTATGGTGTAAGAAAGAGGTCTAGTTTCATTCTTCTGCATGTTGCTGTCCAGTTCTCACAGCACCATTTGCTAAAGAGGCCATCTTTTTTCCATTGGATACTCTTTCCTGCTTTGTCAAAGATTACTTGGCTATACATTTGTGGGTACAATTCTGGGTTTTCTATTCTACTCCATTGGTCTGTGTGTCTGTTTTGTGCCAATACCATACTGTCTTGATGACAGCTTTGTAGTAGAGGCTAAAGTCTGGGATGGTGATGCTTTCTGTTTTGGTTTTCTTCTTCAATATTACTTTGGCTATTTGGGATCTTTTGTGGTTCCATACAAAGTTTAGGATTGTTCTAGCTTTGAGAAGAATGCTGGTGCAATTTTGATTGGGATTGCATTGACTGTGTAGATGGCTTGGGGTAGTACTGACATTTTAACAATATTTAGTCTTCTGATCCATGCATGTGGAATGTGTTTCCGTTTCTTTGTGTCTTCTTCAGTTTCCTTCATAAGCTTTCTATAGTTTTTGGCAGATAGGCTTTGGTGCAACTGTAAATGGGATCAGTTTATTTCACTTTCTATTGCTTCATTATCGGTATATAAAAATGCAACTGATTTCTGTACGTTGATTTTGTATCCTGCGACTTTGCTGATAGAGAAATGTTTTCAGGGGTCAGAGAAATCCTATGGGAACTCACTGTACTTTCTGTAATTTTTTCCTATAAGCTTAAACTTAGTCTAGAATGTAAAGTACTTAAAATATTCCTTCTACTGTATCCATAAAGTGGATGCATTTTATATTTTTAAAAATTTTACCTCAATAAAGCGGATTTAAGTATTGAGGGGGGTAATAAATGAATACACTTTGATCAACTCTGTAAAAAAAATATATTGAGGACAAACAGCTAGAGATGCATCTGGAATTAGAGGGTAGCCTCTGAGCTGAGGAGAGAAGCTCTCTGGGACAGTGGAGTTTGGTGGAGGTGAGCAGGAACATGACTGGCTATCACACAAGGTAAGTAAGGTGAGGTCACCTACGAGAAATAAAAATAAAGAGATGGACATTTGAAGGAGGGAGAGAGCACAGCTGACTTGAGGAGAATGGGAACCCAGGCCAATCTTTAGGGAAAAGCTAGCATTTTAAGATAGGACATACTTTCCCAGGGGCTGCTATAATACCGTAGGGTAACATTCAACAAATTCAGGTCTGGAAGCCTCTAGCTTCTGCCCTTTTTAAAGTGTTCACTTTCTCCCCCTCTTGTTTTATTTATTAGTGATGATACCTAACAATCAGCTCTTCAGTGTCAGTTAACCTATACATATTAATGTCTTTAGTGAAAAGCTCTGTATTTCCCTTTTCAAGGCACTATGATGCAAGGGTGAGGATAAAACAGTGGAAGATGAGACCTTCCCTCCAGGAACTTGAAGTCCAGTTTAATAAACAACCCTAGACAAGAAACAGTAGCCAGTTGGCATGAGCTCCTAATCACGTGGGCCTCTCCACAGCAACGCTTGCGTGTCCTCACAACATGGCACCTGGCTTCCCATAGACTGAGTGATCCAAGAAAGACAGAAACCAAGGAGGAAGTTGCAGTGCCTTTTATGGCCTGGTTTCAAAGCTACACACTATTACTTCCGCCCTATTCTCCTTGTTAAAAGGGAATCGTTCAGTCCAGCCCACACTCAAGGGGAGGGAAATTAGGCTGTGCATTTTGGTAGGAGGAGTGTCAAGACTTCATGGACATATTCTTAAATCACCGCAAACCTACACCTATATTCAAATGACTTTTAACATTTTTCCATACGTACTTTATATATGTGATACGTGTGCGTGAATATGTATGTGTTTGTTTGAAAGGGAGGGAGGAAAGAAGAAAAGGAAGGAAGGAAATTAGGAAGGGAGCGAAAGAGGGTAACCAAACAAGACAGAATGTGTTGAGTATCCAATTTATGGCTCAAACGAGAACTATCCTAAGAATTATTAGACTGGAGAGGCCACTGTAGGCAGGGAACAGCCATAGGTCATTCAGAAAAGGCTGGTTTTAAGTAGGTCCTTGGGGATCCGTATGATCCAAAGAGGCAGAGGAGAGAGGAAAGGAAATTCCAGTAGGGAGAAATGAAACGTAAAAAGATACAGAGGCAGGCATGTGCGGGTTATACTTAGGGAACCGTTAAAGGATAGTTTACCTTGAGTGGGGATTTCAAACTACTCTCCAGGCTGTTGAATATAATATCAGTGGGCCTTGAAGTACAGTAATTTGTTCATCACTTCAGTTGGAGAAATCGTGGGTCATCCCCAAGCACCAAAATGTTAGGCAAAGGCACTGTATCAGTCGGTTACTACTATAGAACAAACCACAGAACTTTGGTAGTTGACAACCGTAAACATTTATCTTTGTTCGCAAGCCTGTGGGTCATCTGTCCAGAGCCGGACGGTCGAGAACAGTCGCAGCTTGCATCCCTCTCACATCCCTCTAGTAGGCTAGCTTAAGCGGGTTTTCATGGTGATGTCAGGGGGCCCAAAGAACTCGTGGAAACACAACAGCACTTTTTAAAGCTTCCACTTTTATCATGGCTGCTAACATCCCAGAGATCAAAGCAAGTCACATGGCCAAGTCCAAATGCAAGGGACGGGTTAACAAGCTCCATCATCTTCTTAGTGAGGGGAACTGCAAAGTGACAGGGCAGAAGGAAGGTGAAGAACTGGAGCCACTGGTGGGATCAATCTGCTACATGTGCTGAATAAAGAACTTGTTTAGAAATGGGCACTGACCACAGAGTTGATCATTGCCAATAATACAGAGCATTGGTATTCCTGAAATACATTCAACCAAATCAATACTATGCAACTTCTCATTTCTAGCTGTTGCCAAAAAGGTTATTTGTCCTCTTTCCACTTTAGCGGCTCCATTTCTGCCAGAATTAACACTGACCAAGCGATGTTGCTTCTTTTCTGGGTGAAAAAAAAAAAAAAAAGTAGCTTTCTGTTGTCCATGGGAGAAAAACAAGAAAGAAGAAATGGAGCCAGAAAGAGAGAGTTATTCCATTACCTTGGGAATCACTGCATTGTAATTGTATCAGCTGAAAAGAATGTAAAAATGTACTTCCTGAGTCAGATGGAGGGAGAGAGCCAGTAATGGACAAAGCAACACAGGAATGTACAAAAGAAACTATTTTGTTCCAGTTCCTGGAAGATTAATAAAAGAAATGTATTGTTTTCAGACCTGAAATGCACACATAGTCCACAAAAATCACAGAAGCTAGATATTGTGGTCTCCTCTCTGAAGCATTCAGGCCCCAAATGTTTCAACAGGGACCTTTTTAAAAAAATTTTTTTTAATGTTTTATTTCTTTTTTTAATTTTTTTAAAATGTTTTATTTATTTCTGAGAGAGACAGTGTGAGCAGG